TTTGTTGATTTGGTTCTTAAGTGTTTCTCGTTTCTCGTTTTTTATATAGATTAGACCGTTGGTTTTCCTGTTTGAATTGTTTTACACTTATCATGGTGGGACCCTTTATAGCTTGCTGTTCGGTGTGAGCCAATGCTCCGTGTTGAAGGCCGTACTTTGACCTATAATTGATTATTTTTTACAGTTTGTGACTTGGATGGAGAGTTGTCTCATTTGCACTCTTACCACATCTTCTTATTTCTATGCATTAACAATTAATCAATGTAGCTACCCCCTCTCCTCCTTTAATCCACCGGTCCGTCTCTGATATTAAATTTTACCTAAACATGTATCCAACCGATACAACAATATTGTTTTTAGTGCTGACTTTCCTAACTTCTTCTACATAGTTATCAAATTCTTCTGGTGGTACAACCGATGGAGATTTCTCTACAAACACATGTATTCCAGCCTTCACAAACTGAAGTTCAATGTCAACCCCATCTTTTAGTGAACCTCTGTATAATGGAGGGATTCCTATAAACACTGCATCTGGTTTCAACGCAATTAACTCTTTGAAGTGAGGGAAAATTTGGCAACCGGTATAAAAATGTTTCACTTGGTCTGCTGAAAGTTTTGCTTTGAGAACATCTTCTGCAATCCTTATGTCAGTATCTACGATTGCCACAACTTTTATGTTTCCAATCTTTTCTAGTCTCGTTGCATGGGCCCATGGTAACATGGAGCCAGATTTACCAAAATGAATACCACCGGCTCCAATAAAGCCAATCCTAAGTATTTTATGCTCCATTAATCTGAAATTCATATACAAGTATTAAACACATATTAAAAAAAGTACATTATCATTATTCTAAGTATATATAGGTGGTGTTTCATTTAATCACTTGAATAAAAGGTGGAGTATATCGGTGAGACTGTGCACCAGGAATGGCACTAAAACGCGGATGTTCAGAAAGGGTATGCAGTTCCTGTCCTAATTCGGTGCTGAGTACCGGTAAAAACGAACAACACGGTTATCATAAAAAAAAATAACAATGGTTAGGAAGAGAATAAGGAGGGTGGACTGAAGGGGTTTCACAAAAAGAAAATGTTGCCCTTGTCAATGCATATAACGGAGGATTTTTTAGAAGGTACTATAATTATATTTTTTATTCTTATAACTACAACTATTAACATTGTTCGTTTGTAGTGTTGGTTTGGCAAAAACTTGAAACTACCAATCAAATTTTAACTTTTATCTTGATTTCACACAATTTGTTCATCTTGCATAAGAATACGAAGCACATTTTGTTTGTTGTTGTTGTTGTTGAATTCCTACAAGTATTTGCAACTGAATGGAAAGTGACGGGTGATAACTCTTGAAAATCAGACATAATGATCCAATGAGAGGCCTCGGTGCCTGAGTGGTTTAAGACTTAAAGTAGTCAAACTGTAGTCAAACTACAGTTTCACTAGCCTGTCAACACTGAAGTTGTGAGTTAGAATCCCGCACGTGGCGGTTGCGCTCAACTCCAATCTTAATTGACAAGGATTGTTAGTTTTCCTACCGAAGGTCGGTGGTTCTCTCCAGGCACTCCAGCTTCCTCCACCAATTAAAAATCACCGCCACTGATTAACACAATAGTGCTGAAAGTGGAGTTAAACACCAATCAATCAATCAATCAACCGATCAAACTAATGAGAGGGAATTTAACAACTAAAATTAAAGGAATAAATAAAAAAAATAATAAAAAGTTAATGGGGTTGTTAATTGAAGAATTGTCAAACAAAATATACACAGATACAATTATATGATTTACCTGAACCTGGCGTAGTCCTTGTTTCACAAAAGCTACACAGCTAGACACGGTGACTATTTATATTTATGATAAGTCATGCAGTGTACCAAAATAAAAGTATTAGTGTATCATTAGGTAATCATTATATACACTGTTCCCTGAGGTTTAGTTCATCGTCAATAGTTTAATTGTACGCATATGTAAACCAACAATCAATCAATGAATCATGTAAACCAACTAATTTTCGCGACTTTAGCGAGTGTTAAAAAACGCAAATATGTCAAACTTGCATCTTTCCTTACTTAGTTTAACTACATCAAGTAAATTTCAAAATCGCGAAATTAAATCGACGCGAGAAAGCTAGAAAGGGAAAACCGTGCTATATCCCCATCTATCTCATAAAATGTAATACAGAAAGTATAGAATAGTCCAAGGTTATTGTACTGAGGTCTGAAGGCAAGAGCAATCTTGTATTAGCCAAACATGACTGTGTTTGCAGCATCAAAATGGGAAAAAAACATGAACACCCAAAATTTCAACAGTAAGTAAGTTTTTAACTTTTGCATTTTGTAATCATGAAATAACATATCAGAGTTTTGAAATTCATATATATTCATTGTGATTTATCATTTATGTTCGACATTATAACCAGAAACAGCGACAACATATAATATGAATACACATACACATACACAAACACAAACATTTTGATTATTGATTTTTTTTTTTTTTTAATTTGTCTCTGTTTTTTAATATGGTTTAACCCTAAGAATTGTCAGTACATTTTTGATTTCACTAATATTTCTTTCACGATTACTTTGACATGTCCAGCTCATTGTGAAGAGGGTATTGAAACCTAAATGCTATAGCTACCTTCGCCTCACGGCGGTGCATTTTGTTCGTCAATCATAAAACACAATATGAACTTATTGTCCTAGACGATCTGAATTGGTAATTGGTATACGAAAACTATCCATACGTATTTACTCATTTTCGGGAAATTAAGAAGTCCATTTAATCGGGGGCATTTGCCAAATGTTAAAGCGCATATAAGAACTGTATTTATTGCTTGAAAATTCTTATATAGAAGTAGATCAAAGCACATATTGCATATAATGAATTTATATCATGATTGACGAAAACATTAGATGGATTTTCCCAAACTACTCAGCATGTGTTCCCAAAATTTCATTACAAACTAATTTAAAACACAAAAATGTCCTATAGAGTAAATGTTTACAATAGTGTTCTTATTAAATATGATGAATATCAAGTTCGGACGGACCCAGAGGAAAAGGGGGATCCGAGATGCCTGGAAAATAGTTTTATTGATATGCAATGTTTTACTAAAGGAAAGATTTAACAACGGATTTGAACTTGACTATTTCATCTAAAATTCATAACATGTGACCAAACATGCATATGTTGAAAGTTTGTAGACTTCACGCTGGTATCTTTAGAAAACATGCTAATCGAAACAGCAGGGGTCGCAGACATACGTAAAGTTTTCAAATATATTTCTAAGTTTTTACAATGCTGATTAATATCTTAGTAATTAAATTAATCTAAAATTCTGCAAATACAAACATGTTAACATGGTTAAGTAATTCAAGTTGCTTTTAAATATTAATTTTAAATAATTAAAATGTGTGTCCTTATTCATACCAGAGACATATACAATAATTGTATTATATGTCTCTGTTCCGGCGCAAATTTTATATTGTTCAAATACTAATATTTAAATAATTTTTGCTAGAGAAATTTCGAAAGACGAAGACAAATAAAGAATATAGAGTAACTTAATTATGTGCGAACTTTTTTTCTCTTAAAGTCAAGTGGATACAAGGGGAATGTGTCTAAAACAGTCAACAGACTAAGATATTACACTTATGGCATCAAGGATTTGTATAGTCTCACTATACAAATTCTTGATGGCATGTATGCAAAATTTCACTTCTAAAATTTTCTTGTTTAGTTTATTTCAATTTCAAGCGATTGTCATTTTGTAATCTTTCAATATACATTTACTAGATAAATCTAATTTTGTTTCTTGCTTGTCGACCCGCTTATATATTCTGACATTTTCATTATACTCATCAATTAACTTATTTATATACAGCCAGTTTTTAAAATCAATAATACATATAACATGTATACTGTCTGATTACATGAGGTATAATGGTCGGAATACTGTTGAGCTGTAAACTCCTGATTCGATTGCAATGAATCATTTAGACGAAATTTATAGTTCATAATCATTGTTGCAGGATTTTAGTTAATGTACGAATTATTCTTGAACAGTAATTGTTTTAAAGTTTCTAATTATTTTTTGTAATTGCTGTTCATATAACATCATGCTCGTGTCATTTTGGCATAACTTGTCTTTAGACTGAAGCTGTGCCCAGTTGTGTTTTTCATGAACTGGGCGGTGAACAGGAATTTGTATTCAATATAAAAATAGGAAGATGTGGTATGATTGCCAATGAGACAATGCTCCACCAGAGACCAAATGCAAGTGATGTAGAGGTTAATAACTGTAGGTCACCGTACGACCTTCAATCATGAGCAAAACCCATACCGCAGGTACTTTTCTAAAAAGCCCTGAAATAAGAAAGAAAAACAATTCAGCTGAGAGAACTCAGTAATTTCAGTTTACATATATATACTGCCCTGATCGAATTATATAGTCAGACTTAGTTTACAAATTAGAATATATTTTTCCCATTTGAATCTTTTGTGCATGGTTATTTACAATTTATAATGTAAAAAAAGAAAGAGTATATGTATAAATATACAATACCTTGGTGTTTTCTATATTCAGAATAGTCAGGCTTTTGACATCAAATTTAGGCATATTACAAATATTCAAATGACCAGTAATTAAGACAACAAAAAATGGCATTTTAAACACAAGCTCCCATCTGAATACGTTTGAAATCTTTTATAAAGATAGTACGTTTTTTGATTATATGATCAATTTATATGGCAAATCAGTTAACTATTTCCTTATGTTTTGTCATTTCAAAACTGTATTATTATTATTTTTGTTATGATTATTATTATAATTATTATTATTAAAAATGATTTACTAAAGCTGAGACATAATATATTAATTAGTATAATAGTCCCAGACTAAAGCAGTGCAAATGTTAAAGTGGATCCGGAATTTTAATCTGCAGATGGGTTACGGTATTGGTTTTAAATTTAATAACTCCAGTCGTTAATGACAACATTGGGTACTGTCATGGCGCTAAAACTATCTCGAAGTCATAATTAACTGTCCAGTGTTGTGAAAAGACGACTGTTGTTTTACTCTGTTATTGTTATTATAAGTTGTTTGAAGTTAAATTGGCGAATTTTATTAAGTTTGACAATGAGTACAAGCACAAGGTGAGCGCAATTGTAAAAGTAGGTCAGATGAAATTTGAATTCGTGATTTAAAAATATACTCAGTCCTGTTTACAATCTTTACCATATGATAGATGCACAAATGTTTACCAGTGCATTATCGGTATGTATAAAACTTGCAATGTATGAATACCTCATGAAAAAAATTCCAAAATAAACGTTGTTTTGCCAAAAAAATTTAAATGAATAACAAACATGACAAACGGTAATGTTTACAAAATCTGACAACTATTTCTGTATATCTATACTGATAACTTTGTAGTTCCTGCCAGTACAGCAAGGTACTTTCACCATCAAAGTACTTATTATTTGCTTTTAAATTGGTTGGACATTTCTTCCTTCAATATCCTGAATACACTGTATCGCTATTTGGAAATCTGCGACACTAAACAGTAAACTATACACCTTATCGCTATTTGTCCGCCATTACTGGACATCACACAAGTTCCCGTAAAATTTTGACGCCATAATAGAAAATATCTGACGCCACAATGGAAAAGTGATTGTTGTATGACGTCAAAAGTTCGAGCGGGACAGATTCTCGGGTCAAGCGGGAATAGCGATAAGGTGTATTGATATTCATTCAGCAATCAGTTACAGTATATCAGTTTTTTTTACATGTGTGTTTAATTTTCGCTTTGTTTGTGGCACTTAAAGAAACAGGATAATTTGACCCTGCGTCAATTTCCCTACATATTCCTAGATTTTTAGACGTTTCATATATATATTATAATCTTAAATATCGAGTTTACGCGAAATTGACATGTAAACTCAATTCACCTAAAAAGTGAACTTACATTTGATATAAAATTAGTCTTTTGTGTTGATCGGCAGATTACAAGAGTGTGCTTAATTAAATTTCAAACTGTGGTCCCAATATGACAAAATTTGAAACAAATAAAAAATGAAACCAACAGCTCGAATTATACTACAAAAATGAAAGAAAAAAACAAATATATGCCAGACAACGATATACGATATCCATCAGATTTTAGGTTCTTGGCTTGGGACAGACACACACAAAATGTGGTGGAGTTGAGTTTAAATTGTTTATACCTGATCAACCCTCCCATAACCTGAGACAGTGGTGTAATAACACAACCCAACAACAAGTCAAGCTGTGAAAATCAATTTGAAAAAGCTACAATGTACAAACATGTTGTTATTTATTCAGCAGTATTCAGTGAAAAGTGCTACATGTATGAAATTGTTAAGATCATTTTATTTGGAATTTTAGTCATACAGAACATAATTCTATGAAGATATACATGTAAATCATAATTTTCTTTTATTTTCAGCTTAGTACCTTACAGCGCAAGGCAGAAAACTACCAGAGTTCCTACAATTGATGCTAATAATGATATAGTGCCACCATTAGATTTCTCATTCTATCGAGTATCAAATGTAGGAGGTAAGATTTCATATTGATAATAAACTGTGATGACATTAATTATCATTTTTCTTTGCCCCCCTAATTAAGGTGATTGGTTCTATCGGTGTGTCCAGGAATATTTCTTTCTTCTACTCTTTTTGGTGTATCAACAAAATCTATAAAATTTTTCATGTTTTCGTCAAGTCTGATCTTGGTACACATAAATCATAATTAACATGCATATATATGTACATCTGGTACATGTAATTTGAGAATGCATGTGATGCATTTGTAATTTCCAATGTTCTGACAACTTTTTCACCAGATTTTGGGCAATTTTATACCCAATTTGACTGAATAATCCAGTGGAAATATAATTTCATAGTGTACTTAAAAATGACACAAAACTCTTTATTTTTTTAATAAATTTTTTGAAAAGCAACAACATCATTTAGGGTATATAGGAAGGAAGGAATCAAAAGGAGATAAAGAGTAAATAAGTCCTAATGAATGTACAAGATAATATTACATTTTACCTTTTTTTTTATAATAGATGTGAAGGAAGAGGAACCAAGAGAATCTCCAAGAAAAGGAAAACAGCCAGAACCAGAAGGAGGCAAGTCATCCAGTAAATGTCTACGTCTTAATAACAATAGTTTAACAGAGGTCGGACCATTGATGGAACTGGTTGTAACAAAGTTTGAGAATCCATCTTTATTAGCCTGGCTTGATTTGTCCTTCAATGAGTTGACCAATGTTCACCCTGTAAGTACATGTATATAGTAAATAAGTATCATAAATAATATTACATATTGATAATACAATGATAATTTTAAATTACACCCAGCCCGTTGGACCTACATTTGTAAAAGTCACTTTAAACTTAACATTCATTCAATAAGCAAACATGAAATTGTCACTTGTAAAGAAGTTTCTTCTTTTTACAGAAAAATGAATTGAAATATTAGGCAGTGTCATCAAATTAGCAAATTTTCTATCATTAATAGAATTACTTTCAATGTTCACTGATTCAAATAGCAAGTGTCTTAAATTATTGTTAGCTTTACGGTATAGTAAGAAATGTTTCTCATCTTCAACAGATCTGTCGTCAAATACATGTAAGGTGTAGAAATGTTCATATAAGATGAAGAGAAAAAAGGGAAGATGTGCACTTTTTTTTGGACCCTTGATTTAATCAAATGTATAATCCTTTAATTTAATCAATGAAATGAACGATTTTGAAAGGATTGAAGGATTCTACAATTTTTGTAATTTTAAGGGGCACGGTGAAGGCTTGTGTGATAAATTGTACCTCCACTTTTTTATGGACAATTTATTTCAAATTTATCTACAGAAACAAAGTTACATGTATACACATTTTTGGTTATTATAATGCAGGTAAACAATTATCATGTCTTTTTAATTTTTATGATCAAGTTAGGTACATGTAATACATGTTACATATATATTTAAGTGTTGACATGTCTCTTATTGAAATCATGGTGATGATGGTTCTTACAAAGTGCACGGTAGCAATCGATGAAGTTTAAAATATGTTTATACATGTCTTTTGATAAAGTTAATTATATATTCACCATAGGCTATCTCCCCTTTCATGTATATTCAGTGAAATAAAATTTTAGATTATCAAAGGAGAAGGCACAATAAGGCCCATATTTGGCCACAGACAGGTATTTTGTGTAAACTTGAAAAGTTTCCACGCATATTCATGGTCTTAAATTACCCTAACATGACTAAGGTAAAGGTTGTTCAGAATTTAAAGACTTATATTTCATTTCATGAGTAACCTTACCAAAAAACCATTATGAAATTAGTTGTTTTTGAAATATTTTTTTATCTCCCTTGTTTGGTACCACATTTTTCAGTATATATTGGACAGGGTAAGTAAAGGTGCACCAAAACAAAATTTTACATTACATGTAGGTGATATTATAATAGTCATGATAGTAATGTAAATACATGTGGGTATGTCAAAACTTCTCTAAAAATTGTTTGTTTTTTTTGCTGAGGCCAGTGTTTCCAGCAAAGAAATATAAATAGATACATGTAACTGCATAAAATGAGCATTAATCTTTATTTAAGTAAAATATGCACATTCTATTATGCCATGTATACCATTGTTTTTTTCTTGTCTCATTTATTTATATTATTTCTTGGTTTTGTGCATTTTCCTATATCATTAGCGAATTTGAAGTAATTCTCAAAGACTTCATGAAAATGGACCTACTATAGGACTTAATGTCCCTTCTTTTTTGAAGACTTACAACTTGTATTTTCAGGTTATCACAGAATTTGAAAATTTACAAATTTTATATCTCCATGGAAATATGATTAAAGATTTGAAAGAAATTGAGAAACTAAGTGTTATGAAAAGCTTAAGAAAGCTAACATTCCATGGCAATCCAGTAGAAAATTCAAAGGTAAATATAAAAACGATTTACATGTACACAGCAATTTGTGAGATGCCTTTTTTAATGGCTGTAGGTAAACATCGAAATTACCTGTTCAACGAAACAAAAATTATCTATATTCTTGTTTATATATAGCCTCAATAGTGTCGAGAAATAGTTGGTGCCTAGGGGGAGAAAAAACTTTCTATTGTCCTCATAGCCAGTAGCTAAGTGTTTTATTATACAGAAAGAAACTAGGATATTATATTTTGAGACAATGTGTAGTTATTTTCTTTTTAAAATTACTCTTAAAACTGTTCCAAATGTAATATTTTGAGTAACCCATCATTTATTTTTTTGAAGCGGATGCGAAAAAATTCTGTGAAGCTATTATAATTATTTTATATTGATGTCATAATTTGAGTACACCAATAGCACAGTTGTAGTATAAATATTTGGAAGTTTCAGTCGAACAATACAGAAAGTACAGGAAAATTTCCCCTAAAAAGACTATTAACAGGTTCAGATAATTTCGTAAAAAAAGTAAATATATTCGTCTATAATTTTATAAACAAAATACATACTGAGGTAAAATAAAACTACTTGTTCATTAATTTTTCATCATTCATGTTATTTGTTCACTAGAAGAACAATAGCTATTAAAATTGAGAATGGAAATGGGGAATGTGTCAAAGAGACAGCAACCCGACCATAGAGTAGAAAACAGCCGAAGGCCACCAATGGGTCTTCAATGCAGTGAGAAACTCCTGCACCCAGAGGCGTCCTTCAGCTGGCCCCTAAACAAATATGTATACTAGTTCAGTGATAATGGATGTCATACTAAACTCCAAGTTATACACAAGAAACAAAAATTAAAAATGATAAAAGACTAACAAAGGCCAGAGGCTCCTGACTTGGGACAGGCGCTAAAATGCGGCGGGGTTAAACATGTTTTTTGAGATCTCCCCCCTCCCCCTGTACCTCTAGCCAATGTAGAAAAAACGAACGCACAACAGTATGCACAGTAAAACTCAGTTTAAGAGAAGTCCGAGTCCGATGTCAGAATAGGAAACAAAAGAAAATAAACAAAATGACAATAATACATAAATAACAACAGACTACTAGCAGTTACTTACATGTCAGCTCCAGCCCTCAATTAAACTGATTGAAAGATTATGTCTTCATCATATGATTACATGTTTTGCAGGATAAAAACAAACAAACAAATATCTTATAAGCCAATCATGATGCCCAAAATGAGCGGAACAATAACAATATACTTTTCAAACATGATATGAAAATTTAAAATAAAATCTTAAATTGCAGGGGTGCAGACAAAGTATACTAACAATGCTTCCATAATTCCAGAAATTGGACTGTAACATATATCTTTAATTGTAGGGATACAGACAAAATGTATTGACAATGCTTCCACGATTAGAGAATTTGGACTTTAGCAGAGTGACAAAGGCTGATAGAATGACAGCAAATACTTGGGCTCACATGAATGCAAATGCTAAACATAAGAAGAAGAAAATGGCTGAAGATGATTGAAAAGGGAATATTTCAAATAGCTCATGAACATTGTGTTAAATTGTTTGTAACTTGTCATGAGCATGAACCACTTGTGAGACTATAATCATGGAAATGAACTTTTTGAATCAGCTTTGTGAAATTTTGAATATCTTTTATATTTAATTTTTTTCAAATGTATTTCAGGAATTGAAAAACTATTTTATCACAACTGAAAGGGAAATGAGTCTAAATTTCATAGTTTGAATCAAACATTTTGCAAATGAAAAAAAAAAGAACTAATGCAAAAGAGTGACAAAAAAAACCTATTTTCAATACAATTATTCATTTATATGTCGTCGGATATATAATAGTTTTCTTTGGAAACAGTTTCCCTTTCAATAAAAGATCCTAATGACTAAGATACCTTTTAGAGAGGCTCACAGCAAAACACCTGGTAATATTATATAGATATGATGGTTATTTGTCTACGAAGGATCATGCTCATGACAATAGTGTAGAGTTATGAACACACCATCAATCTTGTGTAGAAAGGACAGTTATGCTTACTTATTTATTTGCATTTAGCAAAAGATCTAGTTAAAACATGGAGAGTAACAGTATTATAAATAGACAGAATATTACAGAAGGTATAAAATCATAATGATTACCCTTAAATTTTTAAAGAAATTTGACAAATTTAAAGGTTCTATTTTGAAAATGTCTAATTTCCATATATTTTTAAAAGAGGACACATTTTGATTTTTTTTTTTATTATATCTAAGTTTGGATAAAAAATCATGCTCATATTAAAATATTAATATTGTGATTTTACAACTTTCAACGTGTTCAGGTTTGCATTTTTTCAAGAACTAGGCTATTTATTATTTAGGGTGTGACAAAGCTGTAAATTATTTATTATTAATTGTTAGGTAAGATGTGTCAGTTTACATTTTTTTTTTTTTTTGTGATTTAATTTTATAAAGTAGAATTCTTTATTTTGAAGAATTTGTTATTATTTTATTTTGTTACAGAAAATGTTCATAAACTGACATTAACCATTACTATTTAAAGTATTTATTTGTTTAAGAGGAAATTGGAACAATTCTTTTAGTTTTTGTTGAGTTGTCTGTGCTTCCATATTAAATTCTTTGTTACATGTAGCTATATTTGTACAAAGACATTTTGTTTTTTTTCTTCTTGATGTTTATTTTGATATGAAATTGAATTGAAACATATGACATATGGACTGTTAAGAATTTTGAAAAATCATGGTTTTATAATTATATATATAAATATATACTTAGCTATGCTTCCATTAGGAGGATTTCATTTATGAAAAAAGATAGAAACAGGTTATTAAGGTCATAATTTTTCATACATCATTACCTCAATTTAAAAAAAAACTGAAATGTAATAGACTGCAAAAAAAAAAATGCTAAAACAATTATTCAGTAGTTTGTTTTGAGGTAATATGCATCATGTATCCTCTTTTAAAGAATGAATCATTGATCATGTTGATAATGCTTCATAGAGAATATTTTTTTGGTAAAAATAAGTCTTAATATTTTTATCGTAATTTTTAAGTGCATTTTTATTTAATGGTCTGTGATAAAGGCAGTGCTTTGTAATATTTTAATAATGACTAATACAGCTTAATGCTGTGTTATTTTCTAAGACATTCCATTTTGTTGGTATATAAATCTATTTTATGATTTCTTGATTGTTCAAAGAAGAATGTCATGAATTGATGGGTCTAGAATGAGTTTAAGAAGGAACTTCCCATAGAGAGATATTTGGTTTTTTTAAATGTTTCTCGTGTTTAAAAGAGTAAGACACAAAGATTTCAGAATCTAAAATGGGGAGTCTCTTTTTGTAATCATGATAACTGTTTTCAGATAAGTAAAATTATACTGAGTCATAAATCATGAATTTTACATTTAACTGGCTGTTAAAGATCATTGTTTATTGTTATAGAGAACTGTAATAAATCTCCTTATGAGTGATTTACTTTCTTTTTTATCTCCAGCAGGGGCCTCGTTGGCCGAGTGGTCTAATTGCTGTATCATTAGCCTGTCAACACTGAGGTTGTGATTTAAAATCCTGCACATGTCAAGTGCATTCGACTCCAACCTTAATTGACTAAGATTGTCAGTTTTCTACCAAAGGCCGATGGCTTCCTCTAACAATAAAACTGATCACCAAGAAAAGCCAATAGTGCTGAAAGTGGTGTAAAAACACCAACCAATCAATCAATTTTGTCTCCAGTAGCTTTGAGCTTCAGTGATTGATTGCTTGGTATAGACAGTGTTATTGTCTCTCGTTCATTCATGTGCGATCACTGGCAAGTCTTTTTTAAGGTTGATTGAAGATGGTAAATCTAAAGCCTAGAGAGTGCAATACTTTATTAAAAAATAAGGAGATGTGGTATGATTGTCAGTAAGATAACTATCCAACAGAGTCCAAATGACATGGATTTAAGCAACTATGGGTCACCATAATGCCTTCAACAATTAGCAAAATCCATACTGTGTAGTCAGCTAACATGACAAATGTTTGTTAAAGAAGGCTTGCAACAGCTCTTTGAGTGGTCCATAGGTGGCCTGCTTTAGGGCAAAAATTCTGCCCCTATCCAAATACACTCCTTTTTCAGTCAAAATTTTCCAAGCTTTCATTTCGGTCTACCCACTTTGCTGAACCTACATACTGAATTTAAGTTTAACTTGTTCTCATCTGGAATATGCAGGAAATATTTGCCACTGGACTTTAAGCAAGCAACAATCAATCTATCATTAGGGCCCCGCCGAATGGAGGAAGCCCTATAGTGATCAGTCTGTCCGTTCGTAACAAATTGTGTCTGCTCTATATCTAGAGAACGGTTATGATTTCAAAGTTTATACTTGACATGTATATTAACCAACACCAGAGGGTGTGTCATAATGTATGTACAACTTCCTAGGTCAAAGGTCAAGGTCAAAAACTTTGGTTTTAGTTGACAACCCCATGTCCTATGGTAAAGATCGTGTCCGCTCTATATCTTGAGAACCGTTATGATTTCAAAGTTTATTCTTGAAATGTATATAAACCAACACCAGAGGGTGTGTCATAATGTATGTACAACTTCCTAGGTCAAAGGTCAAGGTCAAAAACTTTGGTTTTAGTTGACAACCCCATGTCCTATGGTAAAGATCGTGTCTGCTCTATATCTTGAGAACCGTTATGATTTCAAAGTTTATACTTGACATGTATATAAACCAACACCAGAGGGTGTGTCATAATTTATGTACAACTTCCTAGGTCAAAGGTCAAGGTCATAAACTTCGGTTTCAGTTGACAACCCCATGTCCAATGATAAAGATACAAATTTTTTAGCACACATTATTCACAGCAGGGCCCACAGAGATGGCTCCCATCTCAATGATATCTATTTGTTAGGTTTGAAAGATTTAAATAGTTGATATTTCAGATATCAGATTAATAGTTTACTGACTACAAAGTGGCTGAGTGGAATATTAAATGATGATACCAACTTACGTGTGTTTGTATCCTTCTTTGTGTATAGCAAATACTTTGTGAGAGAGCAAGCGTGAAAAATAAGGCAAGAATACCACTTTTTACTTGCTTGTGATACCCAGAAAAAAACATCCCCTTTTAAAAGATTTGAATCCGTGACTGAAGGCTCAAGATAGTCTCAGTCAAACAATTATAATAATCAAGTAGCAATTCACAATAATGAACAATCGGTAATTCCTAAACTCCAATGGTGGATGCAAGGGGAGACGTAGAGGGTGTACACTCCTCTTTGAATACCATTTTTTTTTAAAGATCATGTTTTTTACGATATATGTAAATTTTTAGTATAAAGTCGTCCAAATTTTTTTTGCGTTGATCGGCTCGGCGGTATATATTCAATTATCGAGATTTACTCTAGTCGACAAGTAACATATCTGCAGTAGTTAAATAATCTATTCCAAGTTTTTGATCCAAATGACAGCTCCTGTTGGTACAGTGTACGTTTGTGGTACAAGTATTTGATCCAAATGACAGCTCCTGTTGGTACAGTATACGCCTATGGTACATGTATTTGATCCAAATGACAGCTCCTATTGGTACAGTGTACGCCTGTGGTGCAAGTATTTCACTTTTTTGTTAATTTGCATTATAACCGATTTGACAAGCTACAGGCACACGGAATGTATTCTGTGTTTTTTTTTAATCACGCCTGCGACAAAAGTTGTAGAATGAGTGACATACGGATGCTAATCGTACAGCGTAAGATATTTTAGATCATTGGTTTTTGTCTCACCTTTCGTCGCAGAATGCATGGCGAGGATGCTAATCCTACAGCGTAAACCATTTGCATAAGCTTTATATGTCAGATGCTAGAAGACCTTGATGCTTAATACATTGTATACACATGCCTTATGTTACGAAGTTTTTTTCTGTCATATTTCCATTGTCCTTGACCCCATTTTGATGTTTCGGCGACTATTTCAAAAGCTATAATATTTTTGTGACGTAAATATATCACTTATGAATATTGGGATATATTTAGAAATGGGATAGTCACAATGTCTTCATCGATCAGACAATGTTCACCCGACCTTGACCTCATGTAATGGATCAATGATCAAAGTTTAAGTTTTCGCTGTCAAATCTGTATCTCATATACTATAAGCAGTATGTCAACTATATTTGGTGAATGAAATGATTGTAAGGTGACTTGCAGGTTTCCTCCGATCTTGACTTCATGTTTATGCATGATTGATTGGTCAATGTTTGATCAGTTTCTCAGATACTATAAGCAATATGCTAACTATATTTGTTCAGAGACATATAATACATATTATTTTATTATACTTCACGTTAAAATGCCATATTTTGATTGGCTAATACGAGGGTGTTAATTTACTCTATCACTTGGCTGAGCGGGTGACAATTTTTTGAATGTCACCCTCTCGTCCAGATCAATCAAAATACGATAATTTAAAGGACAATGAATTGAATTTACATCAAGTAATTAAATAGAATGCTTAAGTTCTACGTTTTGGCTCAGATTTTATTATTTGACTGTCAAAATAAAAAAATGAAACATCTTGCCTCACTTTTGTTGTTTTTTCTAATACCCGTAACGTTGTTATGAACGTGACGTCAAAGAAAATACTTTTAAAATAAAATGAATCTGTAAAAGACAATAATGATAGGACATTCAGTATAATAAATTAAATAACACACAGCTGAGAGGGTGATAGAGCAGGTTGGTACCCCTCGAAAAAGCATTGTCAACCTTGGCTTCGCCGCGGTTGACAATGTTTTCTCGGGGTAACAATCTGCTCTATCACTCTCTCAGCTATGTGTTATTTATATAGTATTATATGTCTCTCACTACACGAAATCCCGGATTTGAAGAGGTATGCAAATGTTATGTAAATGTATTCAGAGCCCGACATTTACATATATTTACAAACCGCTGCATTTAGTTTATCTTGTCTTTACATGTAGTAAATATCAACATTTCTTGTGCTATACCCTCCTATGGGCGGTTATGAGAGACCGCGGTTTATAAAATATATTAACACCTAATCAAACCATTTTAAAGTTTAGAATTTGCATATATTTATGACCATCTCAAAACTTTCGCAAACTTGTGTATTTGTACACCTCTGCAAATGGAAATCTTTGTCATGTATTTTTCTATGATGTAAATTTATCCGCAAATGTGTTTCTTTGTCTAGGTAGCAAAGCATCATCATTCAAATAATTTTATTGGGGTTATAAAGTGTCAGGTGCATCTACATTTGCCTGGTATGTAAACCAATTCAAAACGAGAACTTTATAGAGGGGTGTAAAGCATCATTTCCTTTAATATGCAGAGGCCTGTCAAATTTATTGTAAAGGAATATATTTGTAAGTCTTTATAGTTGGCTGAAATGTAAGTCAAATCAGAACATACCAAAAGCATTTGAACATATTCCTAAATGTAATAAAATACTATGGTAAATACATAGATTTGCAGACAATTTGTTTAATTAAGAAATGTGGTCAAATAATAATATCAATGACATGTGTAAATATATTTGGCATATGTAACTTTGAATACATATAAATCTAAGGCCTATCTTTACATATCTTTGGAATATGAATAAAGCTATGGAAATAAAATAATTATCTTTAGCATATCTTTGAGGACGTCCTAAATAATGCCAAAGGAATAATACATTTACATATACATTAGTAGGTCCGCAAATATATCTGTCAGTAGTTACATTTGTCAAACATTTACATGACTGTCCAAATTGTTGTAAATCTGCCTTTTCGTGTAGTGTCTGATATGGTGTGCATGTCTGTCTGGCAGGGTTCATTTGATATTAAAATCATTTACATGGATGTTTGATTCTGTTAAGTTTATGTGATGTTTGAAGTAAAACCTTATCTTAAAGGCCTTCGACGTATAAATTTAATCATGAGTAGTAAAGCAGGCGAGACATTTCAACGTGTGCAACTTAACCCTGTTTGAAAATTAATCTCTATATACTCAATTTTCACAGCTCGCTAAATATTTTACTGAAAGTTTAACGCCATGAAAACCATGCATATCTTAAATTATACATGTTTTAACTTTCTACATGCCAATTTTCAACCGATGGTTGGAGTTTTGTAGTGACACGTGATGTTCCGAAACTCCCCTACTGGTACGTAGCATGTTGACTTTTTGAAAATCTTAATTAGCATGCTATTAAGCACATCTCTCCTAAAATGGTGATACACATTGATGGACAAGAAAATTAAGCTCAAAATGATCGAAATAAATGATTTCTCAAATAGATAAAAATTACATCATGTGAATTCATTTGTTATTTTAATTAGACAACATCAAAAGCACTATTTTTGTCAGAATAGGGCTCTGCTTTTTTAAGTTCTAAATGTGAGTGGGTCAATTGGTGGTGTGACACCTAAATCATATTTGTTCTTCTTTTTTTGCCTTGTACATAAATCAGGCCATTTTGTTTTATGAAATCCTTGTTATCCTGTTTTTCCCCCCTAGTTTTTGAAAGAAAAAAGGTGTCAATCTTAAATGTATGAAAAACCTAGAGAGAATAATTTCCTGCTAAGTTTTCAATTGATTATTTTTCATGTCGGACCTTTTTTAGATTGCTATGCGGTTTTGGTTTCGTTTATTGTTAAAGGCCGTATGGTGACCTATTGTTGCCAACTCCATGGTCTCAGAAGGAGAGTTTCCAGTACCATATCTCCTTATTTTCGTATTACAGCTTGAAGTACACTTTCTGAAGATAGAAATAAGGTAAATGTCAAATAAGTGACATGATATTTTTACTGTGTCAAAGGTTTCAAAATGTTGATATTCGGAAAATCGCTAAGAGCCAACTGAATTTCGCTAAAGTTGATTTAGTTATTTATATAACTATATCTGGTGAAGGTTTAAATATTCTCCATTTTCACTGAATTAGTACACATTTTTGTTAGGGGCCAGTTGAAGGCTGCCTCCGGGTGCGAAATTTTCTCGCTGTGTTGAAGACCCATTGGTGGCCTTGGGCTGTTTCAGCTCTTTGGTCGGGTTGTTGTCTCTTTGACACATTCCCCATTTCCATTCTCAACTTTATAGTTTTAATGTACAAACAAAGCATTAATGATATATATAACATGTTTGTCCACTTTGTTTTGGTGATTAAGATAAATGTAGACAGTTATGTGATGTCGCTGCTTTTTAAAAAAAGTGCGTCCGTACAGTCATAAATGACTTTGGCAAAAGTTGATTTAGTTATTCAAATAACTGTATCTTGTGAAGGTTTGAATACTCTCGTTTTAACGTACAAACAAAGCATTACTGGTATATATGACAGCTTTGTCCACTTTGTTTTGGTGATCAAGATAAATGTAAACCGGTATGTGATGTCTCTGCTTTTCAAAAAAAGAGGTGCGTCCGTTGAGTTGATTTTCACCAGTTGAATATTCAATTTGAATCAAAAAGAAAGTACCAGTTGAATATTCAATTTGAATCAAAAAGAAATTAAAGAACCTTTGTGAGCACGCTCACATACCCCACGCCCCCACATTGTCACTGGACAAACAAAATCTCACCGGATTCCTAAGTTCAAAGACTCATAACTCTACAAAAGTCAACTGATAAAAATTTTCTTATGGATATGCACGTTTACATATTATGTCCTCATTAACTACAAAGTTTCATGACATTCTGTTGCGTGGTTTCACAGGAGTTGCGATGACAAACTGTTGCAGTAGTATATTTAGGCCAAAATTCTAAGTTCAAAGGGGCATAACTCCTAGAAAAAAAATTCAATCGTAATTTCCTGTCGATATGCACATCTACGTAGTATGTCCTTATTATCTACAAAGTTTCATGAAATTCTGTTATGTGGTTTCAGAGGAGTTGCGATGACAAACTGTTGCAGTAGTATTTTAAGGCCAAAATTCTAGTTAAAGGGGCATAACTCCTAGAAAAAAATTCAATTGTAATTTCCTGTCGATATGCACATCTACATAGTATGTCCTTATTATCTACAAAGTTTCATGAAATTCTGTTGTGTGGTTTCAGAGGATTTGTGATGACAAGAACAGGACTGACTGACGGACGGACGGACAGACGGACGGGTCAAAAACATTATACCCTCCGCAACTTTGTTGCGTAGGGTATAATAATTGATGGAGTTTCTGGTGTGTAGTACTGTGAACGGTAAAAAAAACCCCTCAGAATTCCAATTTTTCCCTTATGGGCATGATAATTAAGATTTTTAAGCTATTTATAAAAAGAGATGCTGTCGTGATTTTATTATTAATTGTGAGGTATTACATTTGACCATCATTACAGTCGAGGAACTTAAGCTGTCAGTAACTGCGAGTACTCTCAGGTCTGTACTTTATACTGTCTTTTTTGTTGTGGGGATGTAGAAGTACTCTGCCACGTCCAGTCTGTGTTTTTGTTACTTGTTTTTCTTCTTTGTATCGACCTGATGACTTAAGCCGTTTTCAACAGATTTTTATAGATTGTTCATATGTTGTTCTGTTACACCCCTGTCCAAAGTCAGGAGCCTGTAATTCAGTGGTTGTCGTTTGTTGCTGTATATCATAAATGATTTTCGTTCATTATTTTGTATGTAAATCAGGCCGTTTGAATTGTTTGAAATATGTCATTTCGGGGCCTTATATAATGACTATGCGGTATGGGTTTTGCTCATTGTTGAAGGCCGTACGGTGATCTATAGTTTTTAACTTCTTTGTCATTTGGTCTCTGGTGGAGAGTTGTCTCATTGGCAATCATACCACATCTTCTTATTTTTATATTAAAACAAATGATAACATCTATACAATTAAACATATATGTTTAACATTTTATTATTAATTACATATTTTAATGTACAAAACCCTAAAAAAACATGAAAGACAAATGGTGTTCACACACACGTGACTAAATATTATAAATCCATTATATGAAATTTTTGTCTTTAGCATTCAAGATTTTTATACATGTTGTAAAAATTGAATTGTTTTGATATAAGAAAAATAATATGACAAACTTACATTTTTGTAAGTAGTAGGATTTCGGAAATCGTACCCAGGAAAAATATTTCGGAACATGTACAAAATGTAAACATAAAAGTTATATATTTAAAAACGAACTTTGGTTCAGCAACATTCACTTCAAAAACTATCTGTCTACAATGCCCTGCTATAGATCATGATACATGTTATTAAATGCCATATTAAAAATGAGAAAAAGAGACAAAAGGAAGATCTATTGGTTAATACTGTTGCTTAATATATTGGTGGCTACGATATTTTCTATTGAACAATACTATATACTATACTAGAATATGCTGGGTATACACTCTTAGATCAAAGAATAGAAGAGATATGTGTCTATGCAAGTCATGTCGTATGTCAACGACAATATAAGATAGCGGAATGGATCCATTCTGAACATGTATCAAGTCCTGATTGTATCCTGGAAAAAGCAAAACATCCTACAATGTAATCGAAACTATATATAATCAACTAGTTACATTCATATTATTTTCTAAATGCGTCCTTTAGTTTATCAATTCGGTCCAGTTTCTTCACTCGCCAAATACAATTATAATTCATGCTATAAGCCGTAGTTTAATTGCAAAATAAGAGTTGTCTTTTTCACATCCGTCTTCTTCTCCAGTCCAAATGTGAAGAGTCTTTGTTGGATTTATAATTTCTTCTGTGATATTGATGGAAGCCTTGGTTTAAGACTGTATTTAGATGACGGACGAAGCATAACTTTAGATGCTTTAACTATTGGTTTCAGTCTTCTCTTACGCTTTCCTGATTCTTCATCGCTGCTAGAACTACTTGATGACGATGATGATCGTCTGCTTCTCAAGGACAGTGTAGATCCAAGACCTGATTTCGCTAGTTTCGGAATTATCACTTTTTTTATTAGTAAAAACATGAGAACACCAAATACAATTACTCCAATTACTATACCAATTATCATGCCGACGATTTGTTTGGTAGTCAATCCACTTGTTGTCACTGAAAATATAAACGGAAGTGTTACATGGGGGTCGTAATGGGGGTACCTTCATGGGGAATTACGGTAAAACAATCTTGCCATAATTTGAGACCTCTGACGAATGTCAAATCATTTTATGATTTGATATCAACTTTTTATATCTAAAATATCTTTTTGACATATATATAATATCTTGTCATATATATATATATCATTATTCACTTGTTGAGTTACTGTATGATTGAACACATTTTTTCTAGAGGTTATTAATGTGTAAACTGGGACGGATGATCTCATAAACTGAATAAAGTCCGAAAAAACTGTATGTAAAGATTGAGAGTCAGAGGCCCAGTTTACACATCACGTACGTCTAGAAAATATATGCTTCATCTTTTGATAATTCTCTACAAAAGCATTTGGTTTTATTCAACTTTCTTGGAACTCCAGGATTGCATTCATGTGTATCACGTATGCATATATCAAAGTAAAATCTACATAGTGTTTATAAAGTCTTCGAAAGTATATTTGGAAACATGGTCCATCAAAGTGTAAACCAAAGGAAAATATTCTAATGGACCAATCACATTCAAGTATTTGTAGATATTATATAATAAATTATTTAAAAAGTATTGTGTACAGCATCTTCTATTTCATAGCCTAATCATCAAGTGAATAATAAATATTTTTTATGAGAAAATTAGCTTTTCTTCATCTGATAATTAGTAACAACACAAGAGTTTAAGCTAGGATTTTGAGGGCTTCGGTCACATGATAAGATATCGACCTTTCTTGGGTAGCAGCTTGACATGATGTATGTGTTGAGCATGCTTATCAAGAATTGTTCAATAGTTTACTAAAGCACTTACCTTCTTGTAAATAATATGATATATTAAATCCTCTATAGTGGGCTGTATTATCTGTTGTAAAGACTACCAACACATATAGTCCATTAGACTGTGTGTATGTTGGTTCTACTACTCCACAAAATGTCGCTAATGTAGGATATGTTGTACATGGACCTAAATGGAAAAACACAGCAGTTGTTATTCCACAAATCGCTAATTAAAAAGGGAGAAGAATGAATAATTAAGAAAATAGTTTGAACCTACCACATCATGATTAATGTGTCTTTTCCTTTAAGTCTGATCTTTGCTAGCGGTTGTCAGTGATTATATTTTAGTGATTGTTTTCTTTGAAATAATTTGGTATTGATTTCATGTATGGGTTGGTTTCTGGTAAAGCATTCCCAATGTAAAAACAAATGTGAAATTTAAAGGTAATCATTACGATGCACATGTGTTTACCTACCCGGATTTTGTGTCCCTTTATGTGTTATGTTGGGCTTATTGTTCTTAAAAGTTCTTTTGGTGTTATGTTTGGTTTATTGTTCTTAAAACTCTTGTGTGTGATATGTTGGGCTTATTGTTCTTAAAAGTTCTTTAGAGTGTTATGTTTGGAAATTGAAGGTTCACTGTGACTTTAAGATGAAGAACAGCAATAAAAATGCTGTTGCTTTGCTTTTTGTGTGTTTTCTGCTGTGCATGTACTGCTTTTGTGTCATAGATGGATACCCCATATCCTTTGTTTTTCTATTAGATATAACAGAAAGTATAAAATGAATGAATGTATTGTTAAAATTACCTTCATACAGTTGAACTTTATCAAATTCGCAGTTGACACTATCCTCGATTCTAGAGTCCACTGTTTCTATCACTATCTCGTAGTCATAGGACAATGTGTTGTATATTAACCACTGCTCGGTTGTTCCACTAAATTAGATACATAGAATTTATCAACACACAAACCACAACTTTTTGTAAAGTTATATGATTAAATTTTTAAATTCTTTAATGAAAATGATCAATGTTTTTATTCTGAAATAACCTGGCAAAATATTTTTGGTGTAATCAAGTTGTTAAACTTACATCACTTGATTTTAAATGCTGCCCTTGTCAAAAGCATGTTTTAACTTCAAAGTTGCTATTTTTAAATACACGTAAATGTCTTCTTTCGTATTTTTGAAAAAGCAACATAAGCAGAGACATAACATAACTATATATTTTTTTCTCATAAAGACGTACATTTTATAAATGAATTCTTTTTATTGAAAACATGATTTACTATCTGCTCAATTAAAACACAACAAATCTATGCGTTAATTTGCAACGAGAAAACTAAAGTTAACAATGTAGTGAGTTTTGGTATACCAACCTTAGGTAGTTACTTGGGTAAGTAGCTGAATTAAAATACTGACGTTCAAGTGTGGCGTTCAAGTCTGTTGGGTTACCATTTACACAGTCTGGTGTACCTGTGATAACATTTTGCATGAAAATATTATTTTAACATTGCAACACACTGATATATATCGTATGGTGTGTATATACGGAATATCATGATTAGGTGAAACTAAACCTATGCTCTTATAGCAACATACATCTTATATCCACAGACAAATGTAATATTTGTGGGAAATCATGCATGGCGTGGTTCTCTGTTTTATTCTAAATCGCGGTGTGTGCTATTATCTTTGAAATTGTGAAGTTACCATCAGGGTTAGAGGATATCTGTTTTTCTCCATAGCATCATTAGTGGTGTTCAATAATGCATCCTTAGTTACTATATCATAAAGTTGCGATAAATTTGTTTCAAATTATCAACTTAACTTAAAGAAACCAACCTGAACCAATGGCCTCTACCTGGTACTTAAATCCACGAGCACTTGTTGATCCATCACTTCTAAATGCTAACATTGCTATATTACCAGTCGAGTTAACATCACTTCCTATTTCACCACAAGAAAGAGCCAATCGAGTATACTCTGATGTTGGACCTGTAATAGGATAATTCGGATACACGTCTTAACTTATAGCAAGGATTTGGTTTTGACATGTAGTCATATACTCCATATCTTTACTCATTGTTTTGCTGCAATCTAATGAAAACGGCTATTGAAGTCCCTAATTCTAATGCGTTTTAATTTCTTTGATACATTTTGTCTTTTATAATACATCATTGCTTATTATTATTATACTACCAGAACTGGTTTGCTATTTTGAACGATTGTGAAAAACTGTGTTTATATAGAACATTAAAAAAATATTTTTGTTTAAAGGATTACTTTAATTATGATTTGAATAGTAATTTACTCACCATACTACGTAGTGGAACATTAAAACTAAATATAGAAGTTGGTCGTTTTGACAATATTGCAAGAGAAAATCGTATATGACATGTTGTTATATGAATTGTATAGAAAATGAGTATCATTTTGTATTAGCATTTTCCTGCCCTTAGACCATTGAGGCTACAGTTTTTACCTCAGTATTAACGTGCATGGCCAGCTAATAGAAAGCTTATATTTCTTTTGTAAGCTAGCTCAAAGAAATTAACCGAAAAATTGTGTAAATTTCTAAATGCGGCATGGAAGTTAACATTACAAATTATAATTGCATAACAGTTGTAGTTCTGTGCTTGCTATGACTTTACTGTGCTGTTCTCTGTTTACTGTCATTATTGTCATTATATATTATGTTATTTTGCTATAGCATTATGTTTGCTTCTGCAATAAAATATTCATTCATATTTGGAGAAACAAATAACACGGGCTGCTTGTTTGGCGAAATCAATTTGAAACATGTTATCATCACATCATAACTATGATAATAGGCCAAAGACTATCTAAATGATGTCTACATCCATACCATCATAGATTTTAACGTTGTCACCAAAGCATTCTTCACTGTTTTCCAAAAAGAAGTCTAACACTTTTATCTGTAAAACAGATCCTTGTGGTCCTGTTACCTGCCATTCACAATTGAGGTTACTGAAATAAAAATATATATTTCACTTATCCTTTAAGTGGATAAAAAGTTATGCAAATGTTTATCATTCATAACTTTATTAACATAATATAAAACCAAGATAATATGGGATACACGTCAACGAGACAACAACAAAACGACGAAAACAAAAGAAGACTTCGTAGAGATCAACAAACGGTGTTCAAAGAACAGTCCATCCAATAAGGCTTGCTCTAAATAAAGGTTGGTTTTGTCTTGAAACGACTTTCTTTGGACGAAAAATAAGCATCCGTGTTATCTTTTACCATTGTTTATGTTACTGATTGATACTCTATGACAATTACGAATAAGAAAGTAATATTGTAATCATTATGTCAGTTTGTTAATCAAGAAATTAATTAGAAAATAACTTTAAGGTTTCAACTACCTCAGGCAAATTTGATCTTAGATGGATTTGGCTATTGTTTTAGGTCCCTTCTAGTCATTATAGCTCTAAAAGTGTTTCGGTACTGGCTTTCAAAAAATGGCTTTGAGCGTTCCTGGTAAAGGTAAATCCATAAAACCGCTTCGGACGAATACAATTTATAAAGACTTAATTAAGTGTTATTTTGATTTATTTGGGATTTTTTTTTATACATTTTGTATCTTCAGCAGGTGTACAAAACAATAACAACAACAATCCCATCATTAATAACGAGCGCCAGCCAAAGCATTTCTTGCTATTCATGTATCATTCGTCTGGGGATTTCAAACTCATGTCCAGTCGTAAGGGAGCTGCCATTTGATTTTTATGGGGGGGGGGGGGGGCTAGGATGAAAAATTTTGTCCTGCATTTTTTTTTTAGTTGTAAACTCTGTCTTGCCTTTTTATTTTTCACTCTATTCGGTCCTGCATTTTTTTTTACATAAATTGTCATCCTGCCTTTTTTTTTGCAAAGTGTCTCATCCTGCCTTTTTTTTAACTCAAAACTCCTGTCCTGCCTATTTTTTCAAATTTCATCCTAGCCCCCCCCCCCCCCCCTCCATAAAAATCAAATGGTAGCTCCCTTAGCGTCACAAGATTGAATTGTGCGCTGGTTGATTCGTCCTCAGATTAATTTAGGTTTTCTGCGGTGTAGATGATGAACTTGTATTTTATCAGATGAAATATTTATGTGTTTGTTTTATCGTCAGAAGAAATGAAAAGTTTGATATTGTATGTCTTGTATTTAAAACAACATCAAAACAAAATTATTAAGGGGACGACCATTTGATATTTTCTTGGGGGAGAGGATTTTTGTGAATAGACTATTCATTTTCATCGTTGCTACCTTTTCCTGCATTTTATGTAACACAGTTGCAGAATATTAATTTGAATCCTGTCTTATTCAGGGTTATTCATTTTCAGCTCTTACCAGGCCAGGATATTCATTTTCAACCCCTCCCCTTTCCGAAAATCAAATGCTCATCCCCTAAGCTACTTACCTCGAATAAAATATAGGATAATCTGGTGTCGTGATATACAAAGGTGTAGATAAATTTGTAATTGTCAGGCTTATAGATCCACATGTACTGAATGTTGTCGATGGGGTAGTTGATGCAACAGCTACAACTGCAAAGATCAATAATCTCATCAACTGGTTTTATGTTATTTAACACGTTAATTCAGTTGATCAAATGTATGGTTATTAGTACAAAATGTATTAAGTGACTAAGATACTCCTCAAAGATACCAGGCTTTAAATTTGTACGCTATATTTAACCTTGGGACACATTTTTGCTACAATTTCTAATGTTATCAGTTATCAATACTTGTAAAGGTAGTTTTCTTTTACTTTAATCGGTTTTTTTTTAACAATAGACAATTAAATCATTTTAAAAATGTAAGAGTCGAAACCTTTTTTTTTCAAAACCTCGTATTTTACCACCTTTAACTTATGTTTCTACATTAAGTAAAAATGAAAAGACATTAGGAAATCAAAAACCAGTGAAGAGGCATCCATAAGGCTAAGAGACAAAAAGACAAATAAAACAAGCAATTATAAAAACCAAAAGAAAAACATCACACAGAAAACATACTACAGCAACTCTTAACGACTTCAACTTCCAAAAAAATCAACAAATATAAAAAAAAAAAGGACGAGTGAAATAAGGTGCTCAAGAATTGAAAACAATTCCTAAAGTTTGTCAGACAAACTTATTTTACATGCATTCGGTGTGAGCCAAGGCTCCGTGTTGAAGGCCGTACTTCGACCTATAATGGTTTACTTTTACACATCTTATATCTATTTATATGATAAGGTTGTTACAGATTGAGAACAATTTGCCCTATTATTGCAAATCCCTCAGAGGTTGAGGTTAGAACTGTTAAGTGTTCTGTTTAAATTCTCTGGAAAGTTTTCTGTATTTGGTTTTATAAAACTTTTGCGCATGAGCATACCTTGGTGTTTTCAGAAACACGTGTTGTACTGGACGGAGTCTGTGTCACACCTCTATATTAACTTTGCATGAAATGTATCAAAATAACAATTTTAGTATAGCCCAAGAAAATCACAGTTAGAAAACTTACACTTTTTAAATCTTTTACTAGCAAAAAAGTACTTTTGAAATAACGTATGTCCTACCATACAATTCCTGATTACTTTCCATTAGTATATTGAGATCAACTTTATATAGGGCAGTTGTTTGCTCTTTGTTCGGGTTGTTGTTTCTTTGACACATTCTCCATTTAGTTGTATATAAGAGCTACATTACACCCGCAAAATAATTAAAAATACTTGAATATAATTATCATACCTGTATCTGTTTCGTTATATGCTATTAGAAATCCTCGTCGATTCCTCCCAGATTGTAGACTCACAAAATTAATGAATGCTGAGACTGTTGTTGTGTAATATACCTCTGAATCAATGAAGGTTGCAGAACTATCGCATATTTCTGCCAGTTTAGGGCCACTTGAGTCAGTCCCTGCAACACAAAAATCATACCATCTTATATTTGAATATAGTTATATATATATATATATAACTATATATAATTATAAATAAGTCAAAATTGAGTCTAAATTGAAAACAACGTTCAAACATATGACTGCGTTGGATAAAAACCGCAATTTTTAAAAGTGTGCATGCAAAACAAATTTCTTGGTAAAGGGGTCTAAATACAGCACAAACATCAAATTCCAAAAGACCAAAAAACTTAAAAAGTATATTTAAACAAAACGTATTTGACTAACAGGTCGAACAACGGATGTTCTTAAACCCTGCTGACTGCCATTGGTGATTGCCAAATAAACGGATCACAAGATGTTACAAAATGGATCTTAATTATTAATTTAATACCAAACAGAAAACAATAAACTTGCGGAAAAGATGGTATACTGCAAACATGAGGTTCAAAAATTTGTACACCATATCCGGATTTCGACAATTAATGTCTCTTCAGTGATGTTAGGAATCGAAACGGTATTTCGAAGGCCAAATAATTTACCTCGATTTAGGATATATATATAAAGTGCCTATAAAATCAACCTAACAATGTTAGTGTAGATTTGATTTTTTACTTCCTCCCCGACAGAGGCTGGAACCTGTACTTTTCACTTCTCACTCCTACAACACCGCCTAGCATTGCCCAGACGCCTTATCCCCTCCACTAACTATAACTATCAGCTTTTCGTTTCGGGAAGTGTTACCTTCTCGTAGGTATTAAGCAAGGACATCTAAACACAATACACGAAGTATTTTTTAGTATATGTTAATACTAAATAAGTAGATATCTAAAATTGTTATGCATTACCTTCATATATAAAAAGCTTGTCTGAGTAACAAACTTCACCATCTAACATGTCTGCGAATATGACCTCTACCCGGATAGATTTTGTTCCCGACGACGACGTTATTGTCCATTCACAATTGTTAGCACTGAAATAAAAAATGATGTTGACCTTTTGAAAATATAGTATAATGCATAAAATTAGAAAGACTGTCATCATTGGGATGAAAGAAGATAAAGCCAACTCACGAGTAAGAGTTTCTGTAAGTGTTGGCATCTTCGGGTTAAGTTTGAAGAATCTAAGTCATGATAATATCATTTAACGGTACCAAATGTACTGTAACGGATGCGCTTTTCGACAAGTAATGTCTCTTCAATGATGTTCGAAGCCAAAACATATGAACATCCAAAACCAAAATTTGATGAAAGGTTGGTTCTCAGACAGAGAGTGTTTCACCAAAATACAAGTATTACACAATAATATCTGTTCATAAAACGGCCATTGCCACATTTGGTTGCTTTGTTGGTATCAAATTGGACAATATTGAATTCCTTGAAATTGTGCATAGACATCAATGAATTAAAAATAAGTATAAATCTTAACTTTTAGTTGTAAGAAAAAAGTATAACAAAAATACCGAACTCCAAGGTATATTCAAACAATGGGGAAGTCCATAAAAACTGACAAAATCTAAATGTCAACCTTAGGGAGCTACCATTAGATTTTTATGATGGGGCTAGGATGAATATTTAAAAAAAGGTAAGACAGGAGTTTTGAGTAAAAAAAAGGCAGGATGAGCAACTTTGCAAAAAAAAAAAGCCTGGATGACAATTTATGTAAAAAAAAGTCAGGATAAACTGATAAAAAAAAAGTTAGGACCGAATAGAGTGAAAAAAAGGCAGGACAGAGATTACAACTAAAAAAAATGCAGGACAAAATTTTTCATCCTAACCCTCTCCCCCCATAAAAATCAAATAGAAGCTCCCTTACGACATAAACTTACGTGTCATATTCATCCGGAAAATTAGGCGATGATAGGTACTGTACAGTGGAAGTTGCAGTCAATGTTTGCATGGCAGTACAGCCTGATCCAGCTGTGCAAAAGTAAGAAAATAATTTTGCAGAAGTAAACATTACACGTTTTAATATGTATGAATAAAAATTAAGAAGATGTGGTATGATTGTGAATGAGACAACCCTCCACCAGAGACCAAATGACAACTATAAGTCACCGTACGGCCTTCAACAACGATCAAAACCTTTACTATGCATACCGAAGCATTTCTGATTTTATATTTTTGGATTGCCGTTCTTGAATATATATTTTGTACAGGCGACAATCTGATTGAATTACAGATCATGTATCTACGAACCGCTTACAAATCGTGGTAATTTTTTTACTTGTACTGTATATGGTGTACATGTGTGTTAGACTATAATATACTAGTATACTAAAAAAATAAAGATTCTATAGATGGCTAATCTATGGAAGCATAGTTGTTGTTATAACGACATTTTTTTTTCAATGTGGCCCTAACCAGCTTCAGTACTATACAAACTTAATATGCTATTGATTTTTAGTATCAAACATGCTTTCATACATAGAACAAAGATAATCAAACATATGGATAATATTGGATTTAAAATTACCATTAAATTAGTTTGAAAATATCCTTATTTGTTAGAAATTCGAGTTATCCTTTCTCTTGAAAAATCTTTTTGAAATTAGCAACTTTTTATTCTTACCTGAATTTGTTCCTATAAAGTATCTGAGAGAGAATCCCGGATAATTGACACTGAAGTCACTTTTCAGTCGTAGTATGACGTTCTGTCCACTCGAGACAAACAGTTGCCCGCTCCGCAAATTATTACACAATTTGGTTGCTGTACTAGTCAGGGAATCTCCTGTAATACAAGAAAAAATGTATACTGAAGTACTAGGAAAAATACATTTTAATCAAGAACCATATTCGTTTTCTATGAAATTATGATATTATCTTGGTAAATTTAAAATTTTGAATGAAACTGACTCAAAATACTATTGATGATTCAAAGATACAAAAGATATGTAATTGAAAAGACTAAGTTACAAACCAAACACATCTAACGTCAACTGTGTCTAAATCAGTCAATCTTGGAAATGACTCGAAATTGGTTCTGTTTAGCTATAGTTTTATTTTTTTGCTTGTATTCTGTACATTTTCTGTAGCTAAATGTGGAGAGGTTTTATTAGTCTTACATCGAATTAGCATGTCATTGGATTCGCAGTTTTAGATAATACTATTGTTTCATGACACGACAAAAGCCAATAATTGTAGTTTTCATACATAAGAATAGTTTATTTTTTTCGTAGTTAAAAATTGCGAATTTCGATTTCAATTAAAACTAAAATTTAAATGTTTAGTTTTCAATTTTCAAGTTATACTTATTTACCGTCATAAATGCCCAGATAGTCATATGAGCATCCAGGGCTTCCTTCAAAATAAGACTCCATGACATCAACAATGATCTTATGTGTCACATCTGTTGCTGATAGTTCCCATCGACAGTCAGTGTTGCTGGTAACATAATTAAAATACCGTATGCATTACAATCTGTTAATAAACTGTTGACCAATGTGTTGTTGTATATATAATAAGTAAGTATCGATTTTCGTGGTTTGAGAAAAAATGTGCTATTTCGAAGGTACCTTTAATCGTGGTTTCGTCCAATCTGCTTAAAATTCAGATCATCCAACTCGTGTGCGCGTAGAGCATAACGAAATCAGAGATCCATATTTCAATTAGATTTGGTTTCACCATTTGCTCCTATTAAAGTAGATAAACTGTGTTTCGTCGAGTATTGAATTCCTGGTTTCCACTAACCACGAAATGCATGCGAATTGGTATTCCACAAATAATAGTGAATCAACTGTGCAAGTATTTATAATTTATCAGAAATAAGAAAATTGAAAAAGTTTCTTCTTATTGCATGGTTGTGTGATGGATATAAGATCTTATTGACACACAACTATCAACAGACTATTACAAACAATGCAAAACTAACTATGCGGTATAAGTTTTGTTCATTGTTGAAGGCCATACGGTGACCAATAGTTGTTAACTTCTACTTCATTTGGTCTCTGGTGGAGAGTTGTCTCCTTGGCAATCATACCACATCTTTTTATTTTTATAATAACTTTATAAACAACATAGCTTTTCACATATGAGCTTCATTTTTTTTTTCATTGACTTGTCAAAGTGGCAGACTTTCCAAAATAGAAAACATTCTTTTTAACTTTAGCTAATCATCAGTAAGGTTCATGTTTCTTTGTCGCACCTGTAATAAGCTGTTTTCCATCCCGGCGATGTCAGATATGTTGGTTCTGTATTAACAGTGTCAGTCTCAGTAGCACGTCTGCTGGTGGCTGAACATTGGCTGTTTACTGTAATTCAAATGTTCATGTAAATAATTGGCATATAAATGTTTACAAAATATTAAAAAAAATACTTCAGAATCAAAAATATTTTAAATTAGTATTTCAAACAAATTTGATAAAAGCTGAATAACTATATAAGATTTACAGCAAAGATTTCTTAAAGAAAATACTACAAATTTATGTTACCTGTTTACTAAAAATGTGTGAATCAAAAGGCTTAACGTTAGAAAGTTAAAGTGCAATAATACTAGAGGCAATTTGAACATCAACCGTTAAGTGAGCTGCTGTAAAAGAATAAGATTGTTTTGTCACATTACTAATTGAATGTATCATTATAACACTTTTTTAATATCAACTTCATAAAACATCCGCAGTGAAAAGGAAAATTAAGCGAGATTTAAAAAACAAAGACGAACAATAAAACTGAAAATGAGTTAATATATGATTGGAACATAATTCATATCTTCTTTGGTCTAGAAAAAAAGAATGATACAATAATCAACTACTCTGCTTTGCTATTGCTTTAAGTCATGTTATACTATATTTACCATGAAAACCCATTAAAATTGTTTGATACAAACTTGCTATAAGTGCTCTCCGATTTAGATAGGCATAGTCTAGATATACATTCTGCATCTCTTATGGTCAAACTAAAACGATCTACAGATTTACAGGAAAAGGATGTCATATGATGATTCATCTGAAGGGGTGTTCATGTAGGTATATTGTTTTTTTTTATATAAAATAAGAAGATGTGGTATGATTGACATTGCGACAACTATCCATCAGAGTCCATATGAAGCGGATTTAAGCGATTATGGGTCACAATACGGCCTTCATCAATGAGCAAAACACACATTGTGTAGCCAGCTTTAAAAGGCCGTTACATGAAATAATGTGAAAAAAAAAAAATTCAAACGAAAAAATCGACGGCTGATTTATGACAAAACAACAAACGAAAAACAAATATGACAAACAGCAACCAACGGAAACCACTGAACTACAGGCTCATGACTTGGGACAGGCACAAACATCATATCGAGCGCACAACTCTCCCCATAACCTGACAGTGGTGTTACAGCACAAAATAAGAACAAACAGTAAAAATCAGTTGGAAATGGCTTGCCTTATCAGATCGGCACGCAGCAAAAAAAAACTAACATAAACACAAAATACACAAAGAACCGATGTATTTGAAGAAGAAACATCTTGACAGAAAAGTTTATAACTGACATTGACTTATAAGCTGTAGTTAAAAATTGGCAAATATAAAATTGTATCAAGTTTACTCACCTTTGTGTGATATGAGGATGAAGAAAAGCACACATACGATGACTAAGCATATTTTCCCAGCCATTTAGAAACAATGATGATCTGGAAAAAAAACCGCTTTAATTTGAAACATTTAAAATCCGCGGTTCTAAATAATAGGAGTAAACACATCGTTGCTATTTATTGTATGGTCTTAGTAACAGAAAGTTTAATTTCGTATTTTCATAATTAATTTCTTCCATTTATCTTGAGGGAAAGTATAAAAAAAAAGTTCTTTAAAGCTGGAAATCTTATGTAATGCTTTGAATCTTTGAAGTGCTTACCTGTCGGTCACGTGCTAAAATCCATTTTATGTTTGTTTCCTATCACCAAAAAGAAGTCCAAAGAACTGCAAATGTCCCCACTAAGTTACTATGCACATTCAAAATCAATTATTATTTGAAAGTTATTCACTTTTGTATATATTTTTTTCTAAAGTTGAATCTTTGAAAGATAAGTTAAAAGACTTGAACGTTATGGTCAGTGTAATTATTATTGAAAACATCATCATAATGATTATTCAATTTTATGAAAATCATGGGGGACTTTAAGGGGATGACTTTGAAATAAAACTAATTAGAATATGCATTTTGTCTTTTCAAGCATATTTTTGTATAAATCCGTGTTTTGCATGTTTGTTCAATTCATCGACTTTCACATGGAGAATATTATTTTTTATCCAAAGCACATTTTATTTGTGTAATATATTAATCGCCTTTTTGTACCCTATAATATTATTGAATCATTCATTTGTAACGGATTATTAACTATTGATTTTAGTTTCATTGTTTGTAAATAATTGTTTACCAATACATTAGAAACCATTCTTCATGGGACACAGTGGTTTAAATGTCTAACAGCCTGTTGTTAAAATCGTATTTAAAAAGGGTTAACAAGCCATTTATATACGTGTACAAATTACTTATTTCAATTTAAGACACGGAGTACGTTGAAGTTTTAAAAAATATATATATTGTATTACAAAAAGGATGCATGCGAAAACATAAAATTTTAAGAATACCCATTGTATTATCTAATTCTTGAATAACAAATATTTAAAGACGAAAGTATTTAGAGTTGATTACAAATGGTTGGTTCATTGCAATAAAAATGGAGCAAATATTTAGTAATAATATGTAGTTTATTTCTTATGTATCTAAATTATTGGATTCATCTATTTTATTTTATTTTTTTCAACTGAATGGCATATCGTTTAACGCCATCTAATCAACTTAATGCAAGTAATTTAAACAAGTAATATCTCCATGCGAAAAAAATGAAAATGCACAGAATGAGTAAATGTGTCAGTCACATGGAACGTCTATTATAAGTTGTTTTCCTCTTGTATTGATTTTCTAGATCTTAATATTTGATATGTAGTGTTAAATTTGTGTGTCTTTCTTCGAAAAGTGCTATTATATGACCGCTTATACTAGAAAGCTAGTTGCGTATAGTATAGGTTAAACGTTGTTTCATATGAATGTATGTACATGATATCCTGTCTCCAATTTTCGGATCCGTGAGTTACATGTATGTGCTGTCATTCCGACCAAAAATATAACAATAAACAGCTTCTGCGTAAATAGCCAGGGATATACGACTAGCAAGTTGCGTAAAAGTCGTAAAAAATACCATTATAAGGAAATAACTTTAATTATTGACATTATCAACTCTTCAGAAGTACACACTTGACGATGTAACAGTGTGAGAATACATACTATCAAAATATATCTCTTTACTGCTAGTATGCATCGATACTATCATATGTGAAAGTTTCATTTAGCATGTTTTGGTTTTCTTTAGTTTTTAATTAATCAATAATTTAATATGATAAGTGTAATTTTATAAATGAATGCCTTCGTTGATTTGATTCATCAATTGTATCTTTTTATAAGGGAAGGCTGATGACTCAAAACTAGTATAACACGTTAATGTATCAATGCCGCGTGAAAACAATATAATCACTGATTGTCTGACTGTTACGAAAGCCGAGAAATTCAGAACTCATTATCAAAAAAACTCGCACATCAAGAAAGATAACCCATGTTCCCAGCGCTTACCAAAACACTTTGATTTTCTACCGGTAGCTTTGTTCATTTTGATTTAAATCTTATTGCGGTTAGTTACCATACCGAATCATTCCGCCTGAATGAGATAGATACTACGAAAATATTCACTAGATAAAAGATAAACGCGATACTTAAACCAGCAGGAATTTTTTTTTCAAACAGATGTGTTCAAAAATGTAATGCAGTTTGTCGTTAACAAAAAGATATAGTCAAAAGTGTATGCTAGCTCTGAAATTCGTACATATCTATAACAAAAAGAGAGACAAACTACAATGTTTTATACATCAAAAAGGAACAACGACGAAACGACAAACAAAAAACAAAACATTACATAGAAAACTAAAGATTGAGCAACACGAACCCAAACAAAAACTGGAAGTGAACTCGGGACTTTGGAAGGGTCAGCAGTCAGTAGAGCACTACTAGCTCGCTAGTGAATCCCACCGTGTTTCCATGGTTGAAATACGAAGATGGTTCACAGAGGTAATTACGCATCATATATAATAGCAGATCGGTGTATAGTTCTCTTATCTATAACCCTTAAAACATCACTAGTTTATAAAACACTGATACAAGAAAATTATCTTACTCTAAAGTTGACCAAATGTGAAATTTCGAAATGAAACTACAGTTTTCAGGACAAAGGAGAGACAAGACTGTTATCGTAGAAACAACACGGATATTTCAAAATAAAATAGGACAAAATACAACACTGAAAACTAAAGGAAAAGCAAAATGCACACCTGTAAAACAAAGCTAGGGGAACGTAAAATTTCGAAGGGATGACTTTAATTTTACCATTCGGAACCATTGATATAACAGCTTCCTTGCATATCAAGAAAATCATGACAAGAAGCGCAAGCCCTGGAATATCGTATCGTATCGTTTATATTCTCAATATGCTGGTGATAGAATGTTGCTGTACAGAAGATTAAAAGTGGAGGTGTGGTATGGTTGCCAATGGTACAACTATCCAACCGAGTTAAAATGAAGTGGTAGTATACGCAATTATATGCCATACGTACGGCCTTCAATCATGAAAATAAATCAAAACTGTATAGCCGGCCATAAAAGGCACCGACATGAAAAATATGAAACAATTCAAACGACCTAATTCATAAAAAAAACAATTTACGAAAAACAAATATGACAGACATGACCCAATGCAACTACAAGCATAAGAACAAACTGTAAATATCAGTTGCAATTGACTTAACTCAAAAGATCGGTCCGAGCCACAAAACAATTAAACAATAGGCACAAAGCACCAAAATAAGAGTACTCGCAGCTACTAGAAGCTAGTTCAAAGCCAAAAACAACTAATAAATAAATCATGTTCTCCCAGGCTAAAGTATTTAAAAGCAATACACATCCAACTGATTTAGTGTAAAGACATCATAAACAGTCTGAGAAATGCATGACCTTGTGCAATTAATGCCAAAATATAAGTAAACAGTATTGACAGAATGTAGGATCATGTCATTGAGTTCGCATAACTGTACATGTATGCGCAGTGTTTGGTATTACTATAAATTTTCACTTCGTACATGTACTATGAACATCAAAATTATTTATTTTGTAAAAATATTTTCTTTCTCCATTTGAACTGTACACGTATACTTAACAACAAAATTATTTTCATTTACCTGTGCTTAAAGTTATGGCAAATGGCTGATATTTTTGTTCAAGCATATTGTTTTTCTTAAATTGTTTTACATTTCACAGCGGTATAACATGTTACTTTAATTATTCTTCCCTTGGTTTATTTATTTTGTATTTACATAGTATCACAGATCAAATTTATTCGTTCAGTGTATGTTCACTGGTGTTAATATGTCCTTTGATTGAGTTAAGCCATGTCAATTGATATTTTATAGTGTGTCTTTCTATGTTGTGATGTTACACTATTGTTTCAGATAAGGGTGAAGGTTTGGTACCATTAAAACATTTAAACCCGCTGCAATTGTTTGCACCTGTCCTAAGTCAGGAATCTAATGTTCAGTAGTTGTCGTTTGTTGATGTGGTTCATAAGTGTTTCTCGTTTTTTATATAGATTAGACCGTTGGTTTTCCCGTTTGAATGGTTTACACTAGTAATTTTTCTGGCCCTTTATAGCTTGCTGTTCGGTGTGAGCCAAGGCTCCGTGTTGAAGACCGTACTTTGACCTATAATGGTTTACTTTTATAAATTCTGACTTGGATGGAGAGTTGTCTCATTGGCACTCATACCACATCTTCTTATATCTATGTATAGCAATATATATTTAGTTATGTTTTTTTTTATAATCGACAATGTAACTTTGAATTATTTAGCAAAAAGAATGGGTAATCGGTTTATTTTTCCTTTGAACTTTTCTTGGTGCATAAACTGGATTAAAACAAATCAATTCTACGTATTATAAAAAGATAAACTGTTGTAATTCATCATTTGAATCGAAATCAAATAAAAACTGTTTTTTTAATTCAATATTATGTTTTAATCGTGTTCATAATGCCGTTTTTATCGTAAAAGATGTAACAACAAGAACCAACCTTCAGAATAAAAACGACGAAAAAACAACAAATTTCCAAGTGAATGGATTTTGATGATTTTTTTAGAGGGGAAATGATATGATCATAAGCATGGCATTAAGCGCTGAAGTTAATTGTGAAATCAGTTCCAAGTCTAGCTGAAATTTTCAAAATTCCATACATTGCCAACTATTATTCTCAGTGTAAACCAGGACGAGTTATTGCACATGATTTTAATTTACTCTTAAATTCTTACTATCCAGGAATCAGTCTGTATGTTTGTGGTGTCTTATTTAGACAGTATGCTGAGTTTGTAAAAACAATGTTGACACTCTTTTAAGGATGGGAACTCGATTAATGAGAAAACGTTAAGAACTATTAGAAAATGCTAAGTTAAATACGAACTTGATAAATATCTTTTATTAAGTTTTGATAAAAATGGCGTAAAATACTATGCCAAAATAAGATTAAATACCAGCACGCTAGCTATTGCACGTGGTATATTGAAACAACTTCAAAAAATAGATTGTGCGCCCTATGTAATATAGCGAAGGAAGATGAATTCCATTTTGTAATAATGTGCACACAACTTAATAACTCTAGAATTGAACTGTTCATAGAAACAGATATTGCTCCTTGTTTTAATTCAATGAGTAAAAAAATAAATGATCTTTTTATGATATATTGATGATTGTTGTTAATGACATAAGTTAGTTGTATAAAGATAGAAACAACATTAACAACTGTGAATGAAGTGTGTATTTTACACATATGGTTTTAAATGGATATCTATTTCTTTTTAAATATAGTATATGAAGAAATATATAATAGTGGTAAGCACCACTTTTTTGTATCACTGTTTTAAATATAATACTTGTAATGTTTATTTGTGGAGAGGCATGTTATTCCCGAATTTAAAAAAAAGAGAAAAAAAAGGAAACAAACTTAGAATTTTTGTTTTTCATTGTTACTTGTTGGTACTATTTATAGTTTTTTGTATTATTTCGTATCAATCCTATTGTTTGGATTTTATACTTATAAATCTAATCTTATCCTTCCGAATTGAACCGTCTCGTTAGGATAAGCCTCTTGAATATGAACTAATTTCAGCTTATTACATATGACAAAAGTGTGAATATGTAATAAGGAACCATAATAAATCCTAAATTGTTTACATAATTTATATTTAAAATATCAAAATTTTTGAGCATGTGACGTTAATCCTAATAACTGTCTTATTTACTTCACTTTACTTTATTTTATTCAACTGATAAATGTTATACATGTACTGTTAATTGTTTCTTGCCAGTTAGTATTTTTATCACTTTAGAATATATAGTTCATTTTGTTTACTGAAAGATACACTCACTGTATTCCCGTACATCGGATATTGCAGGTTGTGTACCGTATATTGAAACAGGTATACTGAGAATCGGGATAGTCGAGGCGAACAACAAACAGAAGTCAGGTATGATTTTTTTTATATAATCTTAAATCAAGTTATGAATATAACATTGCTTATATGAACATTGTTATTTCAAGAGTTATACCCCTTTGCTTTGTGCTCTATAAGATGTCTTTAACTCAATTGGCATACATTTCAAGACATACAATGTTGAACCCTGTAACATCAAAACTTGATTTTTTTTGTGATAAATCTTGGTTTTGATTGCAATGATTTACCTTTGATGTATGAAAGCTAGTGTAAAATGATGATAAAAATCGGTCATTTTTTACAAGTGAAAGATGTATTTTTATCGGTCGTCCCACTGTGTGTATCACTCTGCTCAGCTCTTAATAAAATTGCAGATCACGGCTTTGTTACGTCAAATAAGTTGACCCGGCCTGAATAACTTTGACTCGGACATGTCAGCGACGTCATAATGTATGAACCGACGTTGATAAGTTTGACCCGAACTTATCAAGTCATCTTTCGATTTGCTAGTGAAACAAAGAAAACAATTGTTGCTATTGTGCAAAATACGCAAATACAACCCAATAAATCGATTATCTTGTTGTCTGCATATTCATATTGTAAACTATCAGCTGCTCGACACAATATGAAGCCTTTTACAACTCGTTCGCTGCGCTCACTCGACAGTATCGATATCGATATGCAGACAACCTGATAATCGGAACATATCTTGATCTTTGCAAAAGTGGAAGAGAAAAAGTTGACGATGTCTAGTACTGTTAATTGCACCATTTTTGTTTGCGCTGTACCGTGATTTTGTAATAAAGCATACCGCATATTTCGGCTGTGAGATTACAAAATTGACATTACTGTCGTATCTAAATTTTCTCCTGGGCAACATATATGTACGTTTCGGCGATAAAATGTATCGACAGGTAGTAGGTATTCCTATGGGCACTAACTGCGCCCCTTTAATAGCAGATTTATTCCTGTATTGCTATGATACTCAGTGTATGACCAAACTCACTAAAGACTCGTCATTGTTACATTTGGTTGATACATTCAACAATACCTTCCGTTATCCTGATGATATTTTTTCGTTAAATAATCCAGAGTTCTCTAAATATACTACCGAAATTTACTTATTTACTTATTTTAAATAAATCTAACATAAACAGCAGTAGTTGTTCTTTTCTAGATTTAGACATTTCAATTTTTAAAGGGAAACTCCATACTAAAATTTACGACAAACTAGACGATTTTTCATTCCCTATTGTTAATTTTCCCTTTTTAGACGCCGATGTTCCTTTGGCTCCATCATACGGTGTTTATATATCCCAACTCGTTCGTTATGCCCGTGTGTGTAGTGATGTCATAGATTTTAACGAACGTAATCAATGCATCACTGGTAAATTATTAAGTCAGGGATTTCGTTACACTAAATTGCTTAAAACTTTTACTAAATTCTTTCATAGATACAAAGATTTGATTAGTAAATTTGGATGTACCTGTAGAAAACTTATTAAAAACGGTATTAGTGTACTAAAAGCGCGGAAATCACTATGTGATCAGTGTAAACTCATCGAACCGTTAAACAAACTTATTAGTAAAGGTTATCTTACCAATGTTGTAGATCTTTGAATATAGTTTACATTGGCACAAATATCGATTTTGTTAAATTTGTACTGTTTTCAAACGGTTTTTGGGATGTATAAATACACATCCACGTTCATTTTCTGTATAGATATTACTCTATCTATATATTACATTATACATATTTATTAACAGGTTAACTCCTAACTATCCTACTGCCTGTCGATACTTATATTTTGGCATTGCACAAGTCATGTCTTCTTTGATTGTCCATGACGTTAAAACAATAAATCCCTAGGATGTGTTTTAGTTGATTTTAGTCTCTGATGCATGATTTTTTTATTATTAATTGTTTTTGGATTTTAACTTACTTTCAGTAACTGCGAGTACTGTCAAATCGTACTTTCGTATTAATTTGACCTGTTGATACAATTTGTAATGTATTTTTGTTATTTAATGTTTACTTATTCGGTGTTATATCTAGTCTCACTATTTTTAATATATACCACCTTTGATAAGTGTTTAGTATGACGATAAATTTTCACTTTTGTTCTCGTACTAGGAACAACAAAATTATTTATTTTGTAAAAATTATTTCCGTACTCCATGTATACCTTACAACAAAATTATTTTTATTTACCTGTGTACGTTATTTTATTTGGCGGCATTTTGTCCAAGGTTATGGTTGTCTTTCTGATATTGTTTTACATCTAACCCCTTGTTTTATTAATTTTGTATTTACATTGTGTCATAGATCAAATTTATTCGTTCAGTGTATGTTCACTTGTTTTTGTTGATATGTCTTTTGATTGAGTTAAGCCATTTCAATTGATATTTTATAGTGTTGTGATGTTACACTATTGTTTTAGGTAGAGTGAAGGTTGGCGCCTATCAAAACATTTAAACCCGCTGCATTTGTTTGCACCTGTCCTAAGTCAGGAACCTTTTGTTCAGTGGTTGTCGTTTGTTGATGTGGTTCATAAGTGTTTCTCGTTTTTTGTTTTTATATAGATTAGACCGTTGGTTTTCCTGTTTGAATGGTTTTACACTAGTCATTTTGGGGCCTTTATAGCTTGCTGTTCGGTGTGAGCCAAGGCTCCGTGTTGAAGGCTGTACTTTGACCTATAATGGTTTACTTTTACAAATTGTGACTTGGATGGAGAGTTGTCTCATTGGCAGTCATATCACATCTTCTTATATCTAATTAATAGTTAACCAGTAATACATAGATTACGTTCATTGAAATCCAAAAAATATATAGGCTTATTCGAGACGATTGAACGTTTCAAAATAAATAACTTTCGACTAACTAACGTCGGATCAAAGTGGAACATGCATATTTAACTTCCTTTAAAAACGACTAGCTCTGCATAGAGTTGGACGTTAAATGTTGTCTCTTATAACACACATAAATACGGGGTTAATGTGGGGAGGGGCTGAGCGTACGCTTGCAGCAATAATACAGCTTATTAAAAACACAATCAATTCATAAAAAGACAATTATATATACATCATAGAAAACAAATAGTTCTCCTTCCTGCCGGACTGATCCTTTTTCAATTACTTATATATGTTCTTAATTCCTTCAAATGAACATAACTGATTGACATAAAATATGAGCTACTCAGTCCGGAATGCAAAAACGTTGATTTTTTTACCTTTACGAGAGAAAAGTTAAATATATCTTGGACAATTGATTTTCGTTCATTTGCCCCTAAAATTTAATTAGATTTTAGGAAGTTCTTTTGCAATTATAAAAAAGACAAGAAGTAAGTATATATTAAAGAACTAATTCTTTATTTATATGCATAGGTTTAAAACGTGTATTATCGAAGTAAAGATTTACACTGAAGATAATTTAAAAGTAAGCAATAAAGTCAACTTTAATTATTTTATGGCACGCTGCTATTGTAAAATGTACAACTTATTTGTTTTTTAACCTAAAATTAGAAAAACAAATATCTTTGCGACACTTGAAGTAGTTCAAATTGAGATGACAGTAAATTAAAGTTTTTGTTACGGTCTTCTTGTATTGAAATCGTTCTTTTGCAAAATCTGCATCGTGTGAAAAATTCTGGAAAAGAAGAGATACATTTTCTTCAAGTAAGTAACTTCTTTAATGTTCTCAAAATGTTATTTTGTGATCTTACATATGATGAAAAAGAAATTTAACCATATGCTATATTAAATGATATTTCATGAACACACACTGAGCACTGGTCATTTTTATTTATGCCATTAAACTAGTAGTGGACTAGTCTACTTGGACTGTGTAAGATTTCTTAGTCAAAAGGTGATTTTAATATGTATGTACTGTATTAAATTTGATAAATGAAAGACCGTGCTTTAAATAATTTAAACCATCTTATTTTCTCTTGTACATTTTTTCTCGTTTTAGCGACATCGCAGCAGTTTTTTTTTTTTGTGTTTTTTTTCGGCGAGTTTTGAACTGTTTTGTTGTTGATGTAAACACAATTTAGAAAAGATCCAAGTTTTATATATTCCCAACGATTTATATTCGCGGTATCATTTCTTCATGTGACAATCGCTTGCGAAAATGAATAACACTCGTTAAAAATTAAAAGTCATGGCGACGTATGATATTAAAAAAATAGTTACTGTCAAATAGATTGATTGTTGGATGAGTGTTTAACATCTAAGGGACAGTTGTATTTTCAATGGATTCAGGACCGGAAGATTATGAAGAAGTACGAACATGGATCCGACTACTACTCAGATAAACACACTGTATATATCGGGAGTTTAAACATGTAACAAAGGCGCTTTGTACGCATAAAATTGTTAAAATGTTACTTTCATATTTCTAAAACAATAACTGTCTGATGTACAAACCTACAAGAACACGTTATTTTAACTCCTACCCGAAGAGGCTCTTACTTGCTATTTCCTAATCCTTCTTTTAAAGACAAAGCGTTTAGCAGAGAAGCGGTCTCACGTGGAGACCGCGGTTTGAACCTAGGATCTCTCACTGAATGCTATATGACTGTCATACGAGTGAGAGGTTTAGCTAGCTATAAAACCAAGTTTTATCCACAATTTTCTACATAAGGAAATGCCTGTACCAAGTCAGGAATATGACAGTTGTTTTCCATTCGTTTGATGAGTTTGAGCTTTTGATTTTGCCATTTGATAAGGGATTTTCCGTTTTTAATCTTCTTTTGAGTTCGGTATTTTTGATATTTTACTTTTTACACTCTAGATTAGCACGATATATATCTCGTGGGTTCTACGAATAAGCTAATATGAACTCTACTCATTTGGAAGGAATACATGTATATCATAACGAAACTATGCTGTTTCGCCTTCAAATTATTTTCACCTAAAATATATCTGATATTAACACAGTGAAGGTAATATTTAAAAAAAAAACTTTTATTTGGGAGTGAATAAAATTTCGACAAAGCACAAATTGACATTGTAAAACACTGTTTGAGAAGCTGTTTACACACCGATACAATACCGACTACATACTAAACCATAGTTCATATAAAAGTGAAATCTTTAGTTTGTATTGGTAAAATTTCCAACCAACAGGGAAATTGTACGTTTGTAATAAAAAATTAAGACATATACTTTGCAATCATGAAATTCTCTCTCAGCAGTATTTTAAGTATAAGTAAAATAAAATGTGGGTTATAAAAAGGTTAGGCAATCAGAGTAAGAAAATAAGACAAAAATGACACACAGAGGTCAACTGACAGTCTTCAACGATATATTAACATGCATGTCATATGTCAAGCTCTATAGATCGCCACGAGTGGAAAAGTTACTTAAGATCTGCTATCAATACAAAAAGTCTGAAAAGAAAATTCAATATAAACAAAGATAGAAAGGCTACCAATTTAGACAAGTCGTACTGAGCCCTTCTGTTTTTATATCTCGATCAGAGGTATGAAACAAAATGTGTTTCTAATGGAGCAGAAGTTCATCTACGGTTTTGGCGGCAACTGTTTTGTTCAAAATTTAGTTCTTGCGTCATGATTGTTTTGTAAATTAATTAGTTGTCTTTTTAAGAAAAATAAATATAATAGATATAGTATGATTGCCGATGAGCCGATTATCTCCCAGAGACTAAAGGACTAATATGTAAACAACTATATATAGGTCCCCGTACGGTCTTAAAAAATAAGCAAAACCCATCCCATATGCTTTAAAGGCCACTGCATGACAAATTGTAAAACAATTCATTAGAGAAAAAAGCAACGAACTGATTTATGCTCCAAACAATCGCGAAAAACAAATATGACATACAGCAACCAACGAAAACCACTGAATTACAGGCTCCTAACTTGGGACAGACACAGAAAGAAAGTGGAGGGGTTTAACCCTACCCTTACCCTAGGATATTCAACATAAGAACATTCTGTAAAAATAACTTGAAACCCATCAAACGACACGAAGCGTAAAAAAAAAAATTAGCAAAAAAATACGGACAGGATACAAAGGACAGATCTGAGAGTACACATAGTTTCCTATATTCTTAAAACTATGCTTTTTAATTGCTCCATGGTATCTGCTAAATTCATGAAGTGAGGAGTATATGCAAATCAGGTATGAAAAAGGGTGTGCAGATAACACAATAATGTTGGCATGACAAGAGATAAAACAGTTATACCATGGAAGAATTATATTGACACTTCCTTGGTTATACATAAAACCAAATTAAGGTTTGTCTTCTGATATCCTGCTTGGAACATTCTCACTTAAGTTGGCCTCTTATGTTATTACATTGTTAGAAACAGTTTTTGAAAATCGAAAACTCAATTGTTTATAAATCAAAATGCTTTCAAACTCATAAATATTTGAATGTTAAATTGGCACGTCATCTTTTGAAACTTATAATATATTCGGTAATACAGTAAGACAAAAATGTCCTATATGTAAAATGATAATCAGATCATCTGAAAGATTTTAAATTGAAAGATTCATAAAATCTTCTGACTTTCGATTAATTCAAGGGCCAAATATTAGACTTATCATACTTTCTATTTCAGTCGCATTTACGTGTGGTGTTTAATACAAACTTTTCATCCTATATTTTCTGCATTTTCAGAGACATTCCGAATGATCTGAAGAAGGAACAGCATGATAGGAAAAATCCTCGTTTGTGTTTATTTAGTTTTGGTTTCCAATTACGTTCTTCCAACAGCTGCAGCTTCAGGTAATTAAGTCTGAGCGCAGTTAATGTATATAATAGATTTTAATTTGATTTCCAACAATTCGCACATTTATTAAAATTAAGCGATACTTGAAGACATTGGAATCGTGATATTTTATTTCAATTTTCAAATCACAAGTTAAGACCAATTAAATGGGGGTGTGCTATTGTTATTTTTGTGTGTTTGGTTTTTTTCGTGATATCATTGTTGTTTTTGTTCAGTTAAGCGTGGGGTTTGAAAATTTTCAACCATTTTTCTTAGATAGAAATGTAAAGTTTGCGTACAACACTTGATTTAAAAAAAAAAAACATTTATCAGGAACTCTCGAGATCAAAAGCCTGAAAGGCCCAAAAACACCTTAAGGAACAAAACAAATAGTTGCTTACATCCACTTCCTACAGTTGCTTACATCCACTTCCTACAGTTGCTTACATCCACTTCCTACAGTTGCTTACATCCACTTACTACAGTTGCTTACATCCACTTCCCACAGTTGCTTACATTCACTTCCCACAGTTGCTTACATCCACTTCCCACAGTTGCTTACATCCACTTCCCACAGTTGATTTACTTCCATGGTCTCTGTCGGATACCATACCACATCTCCTTAGTTTATGTAATCAGATAGAGAGATCAACATGTCTAGAGAAAGCATCATAACTTATTTATGTTCCACTCCAAACTCATGAACTTCTTTAATCAAATGTAATTGGGTTTTTGTTCCATCAAGGATTCGGATGATAGCAGATCTGTAATGATAATAAATGTCTATGTTCGGGTCCATTTAACAGCTTGTAATAGTCTCTGATAGATTTATTCATAGTCGCAATAAAGAGCTTATCACATTATACAGCCGTTTGTTTTTATTGCAGACCGTATGTTTATCTCTAGCTTTTAGTGTGTATGTACTTGGTTGTTTTTAGATGCAATAATCAGAGGCGGATTTAGGGGGGGCAGGGGGCCCGGCCCCCCTTTTGTGGAAAAAATTTGGTTGATTATATAGGGAATCACTGAAACATGACTGGAGCGGGCCCACTCTTAGGCAGTCAGTGGGCCCCTACTTGTGAAAATTTCTGGATCCGCCACTGTGTATAACACACACTTTTCATTTTCAGTGTTATCGAAATAAAATATATATTTATATATTTATTGTTGAGACACTGATATACTGATTCAGTTAGTAATGTAATGTATTAGGCTACTTGTATTGTTCATGAAATGTGTAGGGTTCTAAATCCTTAACATTTAATTATTTAAGGTGCCTGTGACGGTACAGAATTTGAACGGTGGTCCTCTGAAAAGAGAATATTATTCACAGAATTCAAAGCTGCAAATGAAGGCAGTCCGTCATCGTAAGTAAACTATAGGATAACGATAACAGAAAGAAAACCAAGCTTCTATGATAATTCTGAAAAGAATCAAAATTTCCAAAACAACACAATTTGAATCAACAGTTAATTAAAAACCACAAACAGTCCTGGTAGAACAATTTTCAAAAGATTGAATTTTCTAGCTGAACTGCGATATGCACTCCACTCTGTCTTTATAAGATTCTTTTTCCCAAAAACACTAACCGAAATAAGACGTTTATTTATATTTGTATAAAGCATCATACAAAGAATCAAAATTGAATAAATATGCTTTCAATATAAAATAGTTTGATCCGGTTTGGTTTAAAAACGTTTCTCTTTTTTATGTCTTGCACTGAAAAGTGTGAATTATATTTTTATTGTTTTGCAGATTAAACTGTTCATGGCGTATTAAATCCGGAAAAACAATGTACCTTGCTCTTAATTATCTAACAATCAGAGGAGATTGCTCAGAATCTTATCTAACTTTTACTTTTACAGGTAAGTTGCATCAGTGTGAGGGATTATGCATCAGAGTGAAAGGTTATGCATCAGTGTGAAAGGTTATTCATCAGTATGAAAAGGTTACTCGTATACATCAGTGTGAAAGGTAATGCTATTTATAGGTGTACTTTTCCATTTTTCCCTATCTTCTCAATTTTTACACGTTCACATTATCAAGCTATATTAAATTTGTATTTTTTTAATATTATGAAGAATATTTATGTATTTATTTAATAGTAAAGTATTGCGATATTATACCATTACATGCATGCTTCCTTTACGTCTCGATTAAGACCAGTCCTGATCTGTAATAAAAGGCTTCATTCTAATATGTTCTATATTATATTGAAAGTATGTTTGAACAACCCCATTTATATTTTTTACTTATTTTATACATGTAAGATGGAATAGGTTTCTTTATAATGCAGTCTCGTTGTCTTCGATATTCAGATAACAAGATAGTCCAAATTACCGATTGTGTCGTGTTCCCAATTGTGACATTTTGACCGATAAATGAATTAATACGTACGAGCGGAGCGAGGCTAAAACAAATTGGACGATTTCATATTAAAATTTTGAAAAAAAAAGTGTCGTGAAAAAAATGAAAAAAACACGTTATGAATTTCATGCGTCCGAAGCGCTTTTCCGGATTTACCTTCATCAGGAACGCTCAAAGCCGAATATTTGAAAGCCAAGGATGTATAAGAACCGAAACAGTTAAAGAGCTATATGTGAAAACATGAGATTTAAAAGAATATTAGGCGATAAAAAAGGGGTGTGTGTACACCCTCTGTGTCACCCTGGATCCGCCACTGGTTACCTTGTTGGCGAACCTTTTGTACTACATTCGATTCCCTATTTCACTGTGTCTAAACTTCCCCGGAAAAAAATGTTTGGACTCAATAGTATCTAATATCCGGTACGGTGACGGACCATCAACAGACAGAAAAAAGGTATTGTTTATTGATTTGTTATTTTTATGATATTGAAGAATATACATACACGTATAACTATTTTCGATTCTGAGATGTAATATTTTCTACAACCGTTCTAGGTTAATGGAGAAATAAGTAAAAGGGCACATCAAAATGGCGAATTGAGTGAACCTTGCCTCGAATTTGTTTAATTTCTCTTTAAATTGTGCACATTGTACGGGAAGAAAGGTACGGAAAGAAAGATATTAACACGGAGATCGTAAGACAAGTCACTTTGAGCACCTCAATATTTGTATTTCTGTGCATGGAACGAAAGAAATGGGTCATGTCAAAATTGAAGGACCCGGTTTTGTCAATGTGTACGACCCGGTTTTGTCCTATAATTTCACAAAGCAGGACCCGGAGTTTTCATAGAAAATAATGCATAATCGCAAGACGTGAATTAAAATCCGGCGTTCATCAGGAGTTTGATGGCTAGTTGAAAACGATTTCTTTCAGAGGATAACTTATTATTTATTTGAATCCGTAAACACTTGAACTCCTGATTTAATGGAACAACAATAATTTTAATTTTCCTTTGTATAAAAACGAATACTTTAACAGTGAAATACAAAGAAATGAAGGTATTGTAACACAATTTGATTTTTTTATATGAATAATGTAAATATAAGACAAACGTATATGCATGCAGAATCGCCCTAGAAAATGAATTGCCATGCGACACAAAGGACCACAATGATTATGCGTTAAAAATCGTTTTACTCCTCCTTGTAACTATTATGGTAAATATAAATTAGTATAATAGTCTCAGGTCATCCAGAAAATGCAATAGTGATTATTTTATTAATAATTTTATAAATAAACGGGTTTTTTTTATTATTTCTCCATTGTGTAATGATTATCGTTCATTGACAAATGTTCTACATTTTAGCGACGTTGGTCAAGTTTAAAATTGTCAATTGCAATATGCAGGGGCGGATCTAGGATTTTTAAAAGGGGACGTAATGCCATAAAACGGATAAAAAATCATATAAAAAATTGTGAAAAACTATGATATAATAATTATTTCTAGCTATCAAAAAGGGGTGTGTGTACGCCCTCTACACCCCTGGATCCGCCTCTAATATAATATACCTATATCGTATACCATCATAAAATTTAATAAAAAAAAAAGAGAAACCAACTTTTAGTGCCAATCGCCCATTTACTATACAGACTCTGTAATCGTATGAGTTAAACCTTTTTTTTCAACTGATTTTTATCGTTTTTTCTTATGTTGTGCTATTATATCACTTTTCTTTTCTTTCTTTTTATTGGGGGGGGGGGACTAAAACGTTTAAGCCCGCCATTCTGTATGTGCCAGTCCAGAATCCAGGAGCCTGTAGTTCAGTGGTTGTCTTTCACTGCTTTATATCATATTTGTTTTTCGTTTTTTGTTTTGTACCTAAATCAGATCATTAGTTTTCTCGTTTGATTATTTTACATTTTTCATTTCGGGGCCTTTTTCATTGTTTCTCATTGTTGGAAGCCATACGGTGACCTATATTTGCTAATTTTTACGTCATTTGGTCTCTGATGGAAAGTTGTCTCACAGGGATTTTTCACGGGGTAAGTGGCCACTTAGGTTGTTCTAAAATCTAAATAAGCCGTAGATATAGTGACGTTTTAAATATGTTGCAAACCAACTTTTATTCACATTGAAAATACATAATTGTAATGTACATTTATTTCAAACGTTAACTTGAAGTTTCCCACAGCTATTTTATGTACATACTCAAGTATTAAAACTCGCATTAGTAAGAATAACACAGTATATATAGTACAAGAAAATTTAGCAGGGTTGCATGCATGATTAATTCGTGCAAAATGGTATAGACTAAAGTCTTTTTTTCTGACTGTCCGTCAATGAATGAATGAATGAATGAATGAATGAGTAAATGATAGTAAATATATTGTAAACATAGTGTAGACTATGATAATAGTATAATAAAGCATACTACCTTTACTCTTTTGATAAATTAATTTGGTAACACAATCATACCACATCTTCTTATTTTTACATTTTTACATACTAGTATAGAAAACAAACAAACATCATAATGTTATAAAAGAATTAATGTAAGTGCACGCCATAAAGTATTAATATTTCTTTTAAACTTTGTTCGAAGATAAGTGCAATAAGGTATACGTATAGCATTCGAAAAATGTGTACTCCCTATTTCGAAGAGTTCCCGTTTAAAATTTTAACACGAAAGGTTTGTTTTACAATAGTATCTATATGGCTCATATATTTATATATTTAATTTCTTTCGATGGACATTTTTCAGATCAGTGTTAAAGTTGCTTTTCATAAATTTGTGGTTTCAAAAGAAAATAAAACCGGGTCCTTTACAAAGACAAAACCGGGTCTTTATGTAGTAAACAACATTGACAAAACCGGGTCCTTCCATTTTGACATGACCCATTTCTTTTGTTCTATGCACAGGAATACAGATATTGAGGTGCTCAAAGTGACTAGTCTTGCAATCTCCGTGTTAATATCTTTCTTTTCGTAGCTTTCTTTCCGTACAGTGTGCACAATTTCAAGAGAAATTAAACAAATTCGAGGCAAGGTTCACTCAATTCACCATTTTGATGGGCCTTTTTACTTATTTATCAATTAATCTAGAACGGTTGTAGAAAATATTATATCTCACAATCGAAAACAGTTATATGCGTATGTATATTCTTCAATATCATAAAAATAACAAATAAACAGAAATCCTACCTTTTCCCTGTCTGTTGATGGTCAGTCACCGTACCGGATATTAGAAACTATCGAGTCCAAACATTTTTTGCCGGGGTAATTTAGACACAGTGTATTTTTACCCTGATTTGTATCTTCTTAATGGATTTATGAGGCTTGAACATCTGCTAACTACTGTTGCCTCTAATTCAGCACTAGTTGGTTAATCATTTTTCTTTCGTGCGTTTCCGTGCGACAGTTGTATTCATTGAAATATATGCTTCTCGTATAAAATAGTTAAAAAAAGAACTTCCTCATGTACACCACAGATTGAACTGTTTCAGTACAAACTATTCACAAAAAAATAAATTTTAGTTGTCTCCCTTTTAAGACAGTTCGAATCATGGTCCAAATTATTTGTAAGTTAATTTATCATCAGATTACAGTTTTACAAAGGAAAATAAAGTCACCAAAACACCGAGCAACAAGGGATTAAATGGGTGGTTAGTGAAATGCTGTTTGACCAATTTTATTAGCCTATATTCAACCATATTAATAATGCTTCCCTTAATCGATAGTTAAATTCGGACGCACGAAATTTATGAATTGTTTATTCATTTAGATCCTGCGAAATTTTGTAATTATGAATCCATCTTGTACTTTAATATGCATGAAATATTAACCAATCAGAAGCATAAAACATAAGGTAGATAATGACTAACTGGTTGTCCCAATTTGTATACAATCGAATGAATATACGAGGGTGTGGTTGGGGTCCTTCATTTCTGTATTCTTTAATTTTTGGGCCCATTTTCTCTGACCCTATTATTCCCTATTCTTTATTTTGTTTGGTCATTTTTCACTATTCATTATTTTTTGGGGCCTTTATTCTGCTGTTTTGGTCCATTATTCTGTAAACACCCATCCAGACTCTAATTTACTAACTATACTTTTTTAACCCTTTAATTTGCTAAAAAAAAAATCGAATGGTAAGAATGTTGATTTTTTAATTGTAGATAATGTAACGACCATATGTAACAAAAATATAACGTCTGAAATTCCACTTCACATATCAGAGGGTGATGCTTCCATTGTATTCAAATCGACTTATGGTAGTTTTCCACATGCATTTAAAGTCTCCTATAAATCATATGTAGAAGGTAGGTAACATATATAGTATGTAAATATTCAAATATTCAAAAAAAATTAAAAATTAAAATTTAAACAAATATTTCGCTAGACAAACTAGTTTCACAGGGCATGTATCTATCCAGGTGAAATCGGATGCCGATAAAAACAACTTTTGCAGCTCAATGTACGTTTAGTTTTGCTGCGTAAAAATTTAGATGACGTTCAAGATTTTTTGTTATTTTTAAAACAAGCCAGTAGTCGGAAGATTTACGAGAGATTTGCAGTCGTTGAGACCTCTATAATTACATAATGTTGTACTAAACTCAGAAATTATTGTATTGCTTTTGAATAACTGTGTGAACAAAGAAAGAACAAGTGTTCCATGTACTTGCGTATTGTCCTGACTCCCTTTTCCAGGATCTGGATTTGTTATGTTTTCATTAGATATCCATATCTTTGGTTAAACCAGTACATTGAACATGGTTAGCTCTTATCTACCGCAGTAAAAATTTCCTCTTTTTCAATATAGAAATAAGAAGTGGTATAATTGCAAATGAGACAATTATCGATCAGCGACCAAATTACTTACATATGCTATAGTGTGAGTATAGGTCACCATACCGCCTTCAACAGTGAGCAAAATGCATACTGAATAGCAAGCTGTCAATGCAGTTATTGCATTTTGTCTTCGTGATGAAATATTGAATTGTACTTAATATCCTATTTATTTTCATTCTTTTATTTCACAGTGGAGGAACCCTTTAGCAGCAATGATAGGGGAGATATCGGGGTGATACTTGCTATAGTCCTTGGTATAGTGTTTCTTGGGTCAATGTTTGTTGCTGCTACTTTTTGTACAATGAAGCTTTATCTGAGATGCAAAAACAGGGATCCAGAACCTTCTGAGATGACGGCTATCACGAACATCCGCGCAGAAACAATGAGAGCGATTACATTGAAAGACGACTTTGATATAAAACCAATATCAAGATTAGTTAGAGCAAAAACCTCATCGACAGAAAGAATATTGCAGACAAGAGAAGCTTATGCTTAATTTGTTTTGTGAACTACAGTGACAATGTAAAGTATTATCACAAGGATAAAATACTGAACTTGTACCGATGATATAACAATCATGAAAATTAAAAGGTGATAAGAGTCTGGGTTTTTTTTTTCTTCACAAGGTACATTTTCACACACGCATAACTTTGTGTCACGCTGCAATGTCTTCTTAGAGATAAAAAAAAAGTACGTTACAAGTACGAAAGACGGACCTCACATGTTTAATCATAGTGTACTGTATTAGTTACACTCGATATCTTAAGTTTGAGAAATCATGTCCCTTTTGGTCGTATAATTCTTTATGTTTCTACGTATTTTTACATCCTGACCTTCAAATGTTTGGATTTGAGCATTCCTGATGTTTGAAAATCCCCAAAAGCGCTTCGGAAGAACGATAATTTTTAGTTTATTTTCATTCAAAGTTTGGCAAGTTAAATCCGGCATATAAGTAGCATATAAAACTATGAAAAGGTCCACATATTTATATTTAGTACTCCCCGTTTGATGTATTTGCTTATAGGAAACCATAATGCTTTCCTATTTGCTGCTGACACAGGATGAGTCATGGACATGCTTAATTTCTACTTTCTTTTTGGCTAATTATTATATATTTAATTGATCCAACTTTTTGTGTACTATACATATGTGGATATCTATTTTTCTTTTTTTCTTTTTGGGCTGCTTGTTTGTTATCTATATCAACCACACTTGCAATAAAATGCATTAGTATTAAAAAAAAAAAACATGCTATAGATTCTTTATCTACGTATTCTTTAAGAACTTAAATAGTTCTCGTTTAACTTTTTTTTTTTTTTATCTCATTGTTTGTATTGTATTATGAAAAATTATTGATGTTGTAATGTTTATGCCCTTTGGGGCCCATAATTGGAAATAAAATATCTTATCTTATCTTATCTTATAGTCATGACGTAAAACTTGAAAAAAAAACAAATGATAAGAACATCTTTTCAATGGCAATAGATATAGGAAGATGTGGTATGAGTGCCAATGAGACAACTCTCCATCCAAGTAATAATTTATAAAAGTAAACCATTATAGGTCAAGGTAAACATGTTTACGAGGCAAATTCAGTCGACGTAATAAAGGAGGTTATAAGGAGGCTATAGTAGATATAACCTCCTTGATGCAATGTTGAAACTGACAAGAAAATGAACACCTATACAGGAGTTAGACCAAAATAGATTCTTTCAATTTTTTCTCTCTTCTGCTCATTTTTTTTTGTCTGAATATATCCGGGTTATTTTACATAGATATTTGATCTTTTGTTGGCCTTTACATGTGTTTTTTTTTATTTTTGTTAGATGTCGTTGGCGTGTTGTCTCATTGACGCGTTTTCCGTATCAACTTTTCGTCATAAGGGAAATACGATCAAAAGCTAACGTCACGGTACCCAAATTGCACCGAGTACCCAAATTGTGTAGCAGCCACTATGTTCCGTCAGTTACTTTGTTCCGGCGGAACTTTTCAACTAGTTATTTCATTCCGATGGAACTTTCCAACTATAGTTGTTTTATTCCGAGTGCGGTCGAAAAGTTCCGGAAAAAAATAGCTAGTTGAAAAGTCCCGGAACAATGTAGCTAGTTGAATAGTTCTGGCGGAACAGAACAACTAGTTACATCGTTTGGAATATACCATATTTCGTCCTTTTTGTAGAAAGAGGGGGAAGAATGAGTATCAGTATATATAAGAGCAAATCATAAATTTACAAGAATACCCAACGCATTGAAAGGGGTTTCTTTGGGGACAAATATGCAAAATTTAAGTTGTATTTCATAACTCACATAAAACGGAATAAGTTGCATTATCATGCAAATTTAGTATTCATAGTACCCTCAAGAGAGGGAAGAATATCCCCCTCCTCATGTGGTTTTTTGCATCAATTCTCCAAATGGAACTTTGTGACTGGTTGATAAGTTCCGTTGGAACTTTTGGGCTAGTTTGTTAGTTCCGGTTTTGACTTAATTGCCAAGGAGGAACTTTGTGGCTAGTTGATAAGTTCCATTTGACTTTTGTAATCAGTATCTTGGTTTCCCTTTGAAAGGTTCAAATATAATATGTTGCGCTTTTACTTTGCATCAATTCTCCAAATGGAACTTTCTGCCTGGTTGATAAGTTCCGTTGGAACTTTTGAACTAGTTTGTAAGTTCCGGTTTTGACTAATTTGGCAAAAAGGGAACTTTCTAACTAGTTGATATGTTCCGTTGGAAATTTTCAACTAGTCACTTTGTTCCGGTGGAACTTTTAAACCAGAGGAAGAACAAAGTAACTAGTTAATAAGTTCCTCCGGAACTTTTCGGCTAGTTAGTTCTTTCCGCCAGGAACTTTCCAACGTCGGAACAAAAGAGCATTTACAATTGCACCTATTTAGCAAACATACCGGAGGAAATTTTCCAAGTTTTCCTAGAGACTAAACAATTTGTATTTTTATGATTTGACACTATGCACGTCTTTCAACATAGGTAAATATATTTAAATATACACAAAAAAATCACAGTATATATAAACAGATGAAGTGTTCACTGGGAAAAGTAAAATGTACGGAAACGTCGCCATGCGACGTCCAAAAAAAGTCATCTTTTAAAAATTAGCAAATAAAATATGTTACAAGCATCCATTTCTTAAAAAATGAATAGTTAACATGGACTAATATCAAATTGTTCTAAATATTTGAAGAAATAAAACAAAACATCTGTTATTCGATTTTTAAGAATGTGAATTTAAGCATGGGTGCAATTTGGGTACTCCTCATTACAGAATCATGGACCGTTTGGAGGTTGGTTCAAACCCATTTTTTCTATGATTCAAGATGAATTCAAAATTGAATTGGTGAAACAATATAGTAAATAAGGATACATCTACAAAATAAACACAGAATGGAAACTTTTGTCGAGAACATAAATAAACGTAGCTGAAAAAAACTGTCAAAATAGGTGCAATTTGGGTACCCTCACGTTATAGCTGACAATCTGTCAAAAGGTTGCTCTATTCTAATTTTGCAAATGAATCAAAAGATATAATCAGGGGTTATACATTTCACCATTTTTACCCATTTTCCACATAGAACATTTACATAAAAGAAGACTTTTTATATGTATACATAGGCAATACTAAGACAAATACATAATTTCTGTTGAACTATTATTGAGATTTGAGTATTATTTGTACCCAATTTGATTGGACTAGATTCACGACTAGATTATATCAATTCCTCCTAAAGGGTTCATTAACTGATTCTCTTATGGTTGTGGCCTGTTATCTATTTCTTGCTAAAAGAGATATTTCTCGTATCACACTGCACGGAAAATCTGCGTTAATTTGTTTGGCTTATCCAGCATCACGATATTACGACATTTTTATTGGCTATTCGTTGGGTCATTGATGACTTTCAAAGGTTAAGATGATGTACATTTCGTCCATGGCAACGGACATTTGTGATTTCTTCAATAATATACAAAACACTCAAACTTTTCACCTGAAAATCTTCTTTTTGTCAAATTTTATTACATTCTGAAGCGTACAAGAAGTTTTCAAATGTCCGATGTTAAAGTTTGACACCGGAACAGGACGTATGACGTCATTCTTGAATATGCAAATGACTAGATCAGCTATTCTGGGAATTTTTAACTTAATACAACGAGAGTGTTGACCATAAGAGAAATAGGTTTAACAGCTTGTAAGAATTGGATATCGCTTGATATCAACTCGCGTTATTTAATTCAAATAGTAATAATGAACTCACCGAAGGCTCGTTTAAATTATTACTATATTGAAATTAAATAAATCGAATTGATATTAAGCGATATCCAATTCTCACTCGCTATGAAACCTATAATTATTCAGTGGACAAGAGTTATTGGCCTTTGAACACGAATTCACTATTTCGTAGATGATCATCACTGGTGTAAGATTATTAAAAAAGGCAATAAATGGATTTCAGTCAAACATACATGTACATATAATTTTTCTACATGCAGTGAAGTTGTACAGTTTGTGTTTGCCTCCGTTATTTTGAGTTTTTTAGATAAAATTTAAAGTCCCATTCAAAGGAACAGACCGGTTTTTTTACCTTTATAATTCATGTAATATATATTATTGACCAACATGCCCTACTGTACAATATTCAATAGCATGCAGTTCCTGAATTTCCTTGATATGCCGTTGCTGCTTACCTGGAAGCTAAAGCGTCAATGCTCATAGTTATTTATTCGCAAGTTTTATGAACGCTTTTATGGTTTGGTGTCTCAGTTGAATACGGATATGTTTCATTGACGTCGCCTTTCCTCGTTTATAATATGATCGAATGCGACTTAGCACCAGAGTTATTACTTTTTTAGATCAACATGGCGGATGCAACTGCTGTAGCAGGAACCCGATTCTTACCCCGTTGATTTAAGAGGTTTGTGTTGCTAAACCATTAGTATGGTTTGTGTGCAGAGTTTTATGAAATGTTGTTATCTCTAGATCTTTCATTTTAGTCAAACTGTTCCTATCTTTTTTCGACCTGGCTGTCGATTGTCTCAGTGGTATCTTAATCACTTTTATCACACAAAAGGTTAATAGATAAATACAAGGGAAGATGCACTCGTATCTTCAGACACATTGTTCTTTCATTGTTGTTTTGTTTTCAGCTGTCTACGATAAGGATTTAAAACCAAAAACGTTTTGGAGATACATAACACTATATAACAAAAATATTTGTGGTTGTCCATTACACCCGAAGGTATTTGTGTACACATTTTCCTGCTTAAGGTCAAACACAGGTATTTTTGGCAAATTATTGTGGCCAATTAGAGGTCAATTTGATCTAAAAATTCCATACTTCACTTGAAAGAACGTTCCAGCATTAAAATTTGACATTGATATTTTAATGTTTTGAGTAATTAGATTGGGTCTTTCCTCTTTAGTTATTCCTTTCTTTGTTAAATGATTTATCTTCAACCTCATTGTTCTTGCAAACAACTGAAAGGATATGAGCTAACACATTTATCACTTCTCAGTATGAAATACTAATGCATCAGTATCTAAATTGATTGATTCATTTGTGTTTGCTTTACGCTGCATCAGCGCAAAAAAAGGCTAGATCGCGGCGTCGCGTCCTATTTGAGAACGACTGGTTATAAGTAGTCCAATTATCCATCTTTACCACTGAACGAATTGCAACTGTTCTTATGCAGTTTCTTCTACAAGTGAAGGTACATTCTATATTCTTTTAGTTTCTGTATTTAATGTGGTACCCAACACCTTGACTAATATTAATTTGGCTCGTTTAATTTTCCTAAAATTTTGACAAAATGTTTACTTTGACCCTTTGACAAAAATATAAAAATTTCAAATAATTTAAACCAACCACTATTCAGAAAAAATTCACTGGTTATATAGCAGTTTGACAAATACTAATTTTGATCATTGAGAAGCTTAATATTTCCTTAACAATACAACGTGATTAAAACCTTTAGTTGATTTTTAAAGAGTTATCTCCCTGTAGTGTTAGGTACCACCTTAAGATCCCGAGGTGAAGAACTTGCAAAATGCTTTCACTCATAGACACCGATCTAATTTCAGTGAAAAGTGTATCTGTTCAATCTGATTGTGATATAGATGTGTACTGTTGTGCAGTTTCTTAGTACACGTAAGAAATTTTAGAATAAGAGTATTTTAGGAGTCGATGACATGCAGTACAAAATTCAGCCGTTGTAGACGCTGAAATAACTTGGGTCAGGGAATGAGTGGCACCTGTGTTCAATTTGTTTTATATGTTTACTGCTAAATGGGAACGAATTAGTCTTACTGAATACATGTTAATTTAGAACGAAATTTTGAATTTAGGCATGCATTGCTTTTCATTGCGTTAAGATAGAGTATCTCTTAGGTCATACAATTTGTTTGTCCGCGCAAAATTGTACGTATTTAGCTGTACGCATATATAAGATATAGAATATTTCTATTACATCAAAGTTTGACAGCACCAGCATGCTTTGTATTTACATTTTATATTAAACTGATTTTTTAACCAGGGTAGTAATGATAGAATGTATATCTATATCCCTTTGTTCATGATCGTCCTTTATATGAATACAGTAAAAGAATTATTCGGGCATAAGCCAAGGACGGTGAATACTTTAACACATTTAACAAACAGACATGCAGCAAATTATGTAATATTGTTATTATATACATGTACTGCATTTCATTCTACTTGTTTTGAATACTTAACAGTATGAAACTTAATACAAAAAGTATTACATAACTTTTATTATAACAATTATAACAATGATTTAAAATATAACTATAAGTACGAAAAATATAAAGAGTTATTACAGTGACAACTCGCCACCCCAGACCAACGGACTAGAATACTAACAATAACAGAATACAGTACGGCCTCTAACAATGAACAAAACTACAACATGTAGTATTATAAAAGGTACTTAGATAACAAAAAGCGAAAACACCCAAAAGATAAAATTAAATTTAAACTAATAACATAAGCTGAAAAATGTTTGGTGGATACCATTCATTGGTATTCTAATATGACGTTCTCCTTTCGCATTGGAAACACGTGAGAGAAATTACAATTGAACGTGTGACGTCAGTTGTATATGATTAAAATGGATATTCCTGGAGGTCTTGCATGCAAATAAAACTTTAAAAAAAATACTAGTAAGTTTATATATATTTGCATACTTTTTCATTGGCATAGGAAAGGAGATAGGATATACAGATCGTGAGAAAGGACACGTTAACATCACCATACAATACACTGAAAGGAAAAATAACAAAAGGAAACGCGAAATATCCAAATCAAGAAAAAGAGAATTGTTGCTGTTCATGTTATAGTTTTATTTTAGTTCCCTAGCTAAAATAGCACCAAGATGACACTTATAGTCTTTAGTTTTCTATGTTGTGTCTTGTGTACTATTACTTGTCTGTTTGTCTTTTTATTTTTTAGCCATGACGTTGTCAGTTTATTTTCGATCTATGAGTTTCACTGTCCCTCTGGTATCTTTCGCCCCTCTTTTATAGTGTTATCATATTTGTTTCTATTCAATCAAATAAAGACGACTCTTTTTTGATTTTTGCCATATCAATACAGGAACAAGTCTGCTATTGAAACTGCACTATTAATGCCCACAGTGTTATACATAACCTGTAGTTAAACTTATTTTTCCAAAACGTACAGCTTTTATCGTTTCATCACAGTTCCAGTAGATAAATCGTGCTTATTTATCGTTTTCATTACAGTAGAAGAGATGTATCATTTTGCTTATATAAGACTTAGATTGATTTTTAGATTGATCAAACCAATATTACGTCCAATCGAGATGTAGCACCAATATGCAATGTCTATAACATCAGGTATTTCATAGCAGTTCTAGTAAAGGGTTTTGACAGACCAGACGAATTTGGAAATTGCTTAAGAGTCCCTCATCCGTACGTTTTGCTTACGATTAACTGATTTTGAAATGACAAAATTGATTATAAAGAGAGAGAGAGAGAGAGAGAGAGACAATATGAACTTAATAAAAACCTTTTACACTGATTGGATGGATAGACGACTGTTTTACATACAGTGGCTATTTAAATATATATGTTGAAGATAATAATATGCAAATTTAATAAGAACCCTGATCCAGATTTTAAACATGATCAAGGTAATAGTCGACAGTGAGATTTATTACCCCAACCAGACAAGTTATTGTACATTGTATATAGATTGTATAGTGATCATATATTATGTATGTCCAAACAATAATAGCATCTCGTTCCATTCTTAAGAGAATGGGTTTCTGTTCAAGACACTTTCGAAAGTGCCAATACCTCGTCAAAACTGTTCTTTAACCAAGCCAACATAATTATGAAGACGTGTTCAAGAAACCTTGAAATTAAGTACACTTGAGTTTGCTTCTCTTTTTAAATTATACTCATTTTTAACAGGCAAGGATTGCGTTTGATCAAATGATTCAAAAATAAATCAAAGAAAATATCAAAACCGTTAAAAAATGTCACCAAATATGGACAGTATATGAATATGTATAAAAAGTAGGTTTGTGGCATACGTTGTATGTCAAGGAGTAAGCAACCCGGCGACACAAATAAACAAAAGACAAAACAAATTTATGACATTAAATGTAACTATATTGATAAAATGATATTTGATCTACTGTTATAAGCATTTATTCATCAGACAAATCCGAATAAAACTTTGTTTTGTAGACCACTTTAGCCAAAAATACTGTATCTCGTTTTTTAATAGTTATTATTTTAAACGAAAGGCGAGAGATACCAAAGGGACATTCAAACTCATTAGTCGAAAACAAACTGACAATGCCATGGCAAAAAACTAAAAACGACCAAAAGACAAACAACAGTATACAAAACACAACAAAGAAGACCGAGCAACACGAACCCCAAAATCCAGGGGTGGTCTCATGTGCTCTAGAAGGGTAAGCAGATCCTGTTTGACATGTCGCACCCGTCGTGTTGCTCATGTAAGTACAAACCCGGTGATAAGTCTAATTCGGTAGATCACATTCGACTTACTTGTGTAGGTATGAAACATGGGTTTTTAGCAAAAACATAAAAGATAAAATATAATAATATAATTTTATTCTATTTTATATAACTGCCTGTGAATCCCCCCAAATGAATAGTTAACAAATAAATAACATGTCCAATTATTAATAACTGTTCTTGATTGATATTTTAACAAATGCACTCTGTGTCTGTCTAGAACATTTATGGTAATATAAATAAATATACGAACAAATCAATAGATCAAACAAGCGTCTCCTTTTCATATTTTTCATCAACATTTTCCTTGGCTAAAAGCTCCCATTGACGCCATCGTTCTCTTTCCCATTCAGAATTAGCAAATGGTGTCCTTGGCATTCTAGGAATTCCTCCAAGTCCAAGAGGCCTATGCCTCGATGAAAAAGCTCTGGGCGTTCGTGGTGTACTGCCTGCCGTTGATGGTGTTGACGGCGTTGATGGCTGAAGCCACTGTCCACCCTCGCCACTGACTGGATTTTCATCAGCAGAGGTATTTGTATTACTGTTTATTGCAGAAGTACTGAGTTGCCGCGAATACTGAGGTTTCGGAATGGCAAGACAATTACTTAAATTTTCTGACTGAGGTCTATCTGTTATATTTGATCGATGCCTTCGCACAACGGCTGGACTAGATGTTTCTTTTGTTATTTTAACCTTGGGAGGTCTTGCTGACCTTGGAGTTCTTAAAGGTTGCGGACTAGGACTTCTATCAAGCCGAAATTGAGGCCGTTCTTTTTCAGTATTATTATTGTCATTCTTCTCTGTTTTATTATCGTTTCCTGATAAAAAGAAAAACCTCCGCCTCGTTCTGGGTGTCATGACCTCTTCACTTTTGGAATTTCGTAAAGGTGTGTGATCATATTGTCTTTGTGGATTAAGTTCTGCTTCACTACACGGAGATCGTGGAATCGAGGCTGTGTCGCTGTCATCGTAAATACTACTTGAAGTTGTATCTGGATCAGGTTCAATACTACAATAAATGGAGGACAAACTGGTTTAAACATGTTATTTTAATGTTTATTGAGGTAGTAAACTAAACAAAAATAGACTAGACTAAATGTTACTTAAAACAAAGTGCAGATTTATCAATCTGAGCAAAAGTTTAACTAAATCTTAACCAATACAGAGGATTATTTTGGAAGTATGATAGCACTTGCACGAATTAAAAAATCAAACGGTATGAGCATCTTCTCTGGCAATTTTTATACCATGGTGACTTCATCGTGAACAAAATGTGAAGTTTTCTTTTAACTTCGTTCGGCGTACTGATGTAATTTGAATAGACCTCTCTGAACCTCATGTAGTTTACTTTCTGTCTGCTTAAAGACTGAATCAAACATGTGAAGGTTTGGTTTTTTTTTTTGTTCTGTTGTAGGTTTTCTACCATTCGGAACAAAAACTTTACACACTTATTCCGAACAATTAAAACATTCGAAAGGTACTTTTCATATGATACATAGATAACTGTGAGAGAAAAAACCCGATGTGGAGTATACATCAAAGTGACAGCTACCCTAATACTCAATTCAACAGCGTATTTCTCATGTGTTCTATTTGGTCTGCTCCCTTTAATCTTTCCCGAATATCTTTTATTGATGAGATCTCAAATTAAATTATGCTTCTATCCAAGGATCTGATAACACTTTGTCCTACTTTATGCTCTGATAAATTTTCTATCAACCAATGAAATTTCTGCCTCTAAATTTTTGAAGTTGTGTATCATTACGACAAAACCTGAGAATCCCGAATTGTATTTTAACCGAAAGTAAAATGGAGCGTTTTTCAGATCCTCGTAAGCCAAGTGTGGACACAGGATCTGCATTATAATCAGATTATAATTTGAAACATTATTTACCTGACATCACTTCCGAAAGATTTCAAAAGGTGATCAGCTGTATCTGGGTCGGTCTCCAATAGCAACCGTAAAACCTCATCTCTCAATAAAGCAGGAACCTAAAATAAAAACAATAGAAATGTACTCGACTGTATCTGACGGCAATAGAACAAAGGCTTCCGAGAATGTTGTTCAAACTAAATGGTTACCGAAAAGGACCAAAAGATACCAAGGGACAATTAATTAAAACCCGGTTTAAATAGATAATAGAAGATGTGTTATGAGTGCCAATGCGACAACTCTCCATCCAAGTCACAATTTGTAAAAGTAAACCATTATAGGTCAAAGTACGGCCTTCAATACGGAGCCTTGGCTCACACCGAACAGTGTAAAACCATTCAAACAGGAAAACCAACGGTTTAATCTATATAAAAAAACGAGAAACGAGAAACACTTATGGACCACACGACAACCACTGAACATCAGGTTCCTGATAGACTAAATCATGATGAAAGGACGAAGACGAGTAGAAAGTAAAACTAGGGGAACTAATTTTAAATCTTTTGTGAATACACTATAATCTGTATTTGTTCTACATATAAAATTTAAACTAAACCAGTGCATGTACTTTTCTTTAAGCCTTAAGATAAATAATTATTTTCCTTGAATGATTTATAATAGAACTTTCATAAAATATACTATTATATATGCCAGTAGCAAAAACATATTAACAATTTTAAGAAAAATGGTTTTTGTATAATATTCGGGTCAAAAACCATTGGTATAAATTTAATATGTTACAATTAAGTGCACTGCAAGGTGACATTTTTTTGCAAGTTTAATATACATATAATTCCATTCGCCGCATTTTAATAAGTAACACAATCATCTGTCCTTGCGGTATGCAAATTTAAACAATGACATTATATTCAATAAAAGTCATTTATCTTAACATCGTGCTTAATAGGCAGTAAGTTACTAATAATATGATAGAAACAGTACTACCCAGTATCATTTAACAAACTCTGTGCTGTGTCATCAGTTAAAAAATTATGAATATATAAATCTAATATATATTTAAAAGAATAAAATATTTCAATTCGACATTTAAGACAAGTATATTATATTACAATATCTATACAATCTAGATATACTTTAATATCTCAAATGATGAGATGTATCGGATATAAAATTGGCTCTAGACGATATTTAAGAACAGATTCATTTAATACGTTACTTTTTATAGAACATTCTACAGAAATTATGGCAAAGTTTTCAATTTCAATTTCTTTTAAACTCGTAACCTACTGATCTCAATAGGGGACAGTTCAAAGAGTGGACAACTATACTTTCTGCTATCAATATAGTTAGTCTGACAATGTCACTGTCAGTCAAGGCACCAGGATTTTAACAGTAGTATAACGACATAATTGTAGATTTGAAACAAAAATACGGCAGGTACTTAGAAGCTGGTGAAGGGTGAAAAGGTCCTATTGCCCCACTCTCAAAAATTGGGGGAATGGCGTAAAACTACGTTATGCCACCATCCTCCCCTTTTAGTAAACAAAAAGTAATATTGAAAATAAAAAAAAATGAAAATGAAAGGAGTGAAAAGTTTTTTTTTATTGTGCATGTCACTTTCAGCCGTCGCCACCCAACTTTTTCTATGAACCTTTAGCCTATTGTAATGAATACCAATTGGTCTATTATTGTGATTTCAATGAAACTTTCGCCCATTGTAATGGTTGCAATACATTTTTAGCCCATAATTTAAATTGTCATTAATATTAAGCCTACTTTTAACTCCTAAAATGTTTGAAATTAAAAAATGCAACATCAAAATCTTATTCAATTCTTTTGTCAACTGGATGCAAAAAAATAACAATTCTGCACTGAATATTCTGAGTAGGTCATGGCCATCCTATAGTATTGTAATTGACGGCGAGTCCAATTTAATATGTTTATCTGATCGTAATAGGATCCGATTCTATTTTGGTATAATATTAGGATGAAATGCAAGCTTTATGAATTCATAATTTACTTTCAATCTGGTTTATGGAAAAATATGTCGCCTAACAAGTCCGATACAGGAAACTTCAAGGCCGACGTTTAGTATCCGGGTACTTGTCAAAACGTCTTTAAAAGTCAAAAGTATTTATAGTTAGAATATGTAATACGAAATTATTTTTTTTCTTAAATACTGATATTTGACAGACTAATATTTTGTGAAATTCTAACGGAGTTTGATAAGATTTTTTTAATTTTCCGTTTCAAGGGACCAAAAAGTGACCTTATCATACCTTGTAGATCAATGTCCTTTTCGTAATTACCGACCGTGCGAGACCCTCATGGGTAGTCAAAGTCGTTAAACACTCCCCTAGTGCTTTTCGTAAAACATAATAATCTAATCGTTTTTATAATGCTGATGAAAGCTTATTTCTTTAAGTGATAAATACAAAAAATTGATTCCATCTATTTACATCTCTAATGTCATGGACATTGATAAACCTAAAAGCTAAAGGAATGCATTTACAACATAATTATTCCAGCTTTTTTAAAACAATAATAAGGTTAATGTCTTATTCGCGGTTACAAATAAAAAAAATACTAAGAAAATCTCAAACATTTTTCCATCAAACACACTTTATTTTTCATAATTTTGAAAACCTTCTTATTTTGAAGAGAAATTTGTAGCAATATATAAAATTATCTATTTAAGTAATATTTAGAGTACGAAAATCTATTTAATTTAAAGAATCCTTTAGAAAAGATTGTTTTTACTGCATATCTAAATCAAAAGTGTAACAAAACAGACTAAAGGCCCTTGATAGCTTGCTTTTCGGTGTGAACCAAGGCTCCGTGTTGAAGGCCGTATTTTGACCTATAACTGTTAACTTTTTATACATTGTGACTTGGATGAAGAGTTGTCTCATTGGCACTCATACCACATCTTCTTATTTATATAAAGGAATCATGTTTAATATCTTAAATTATAAGGCCAGTAATAATCTGAATTTAAAACTTTATAACTTTCGTCAATAACCTCAAGATAGACTTATTTTCTTGCTGACCTTGCAATAACTTAAAGTCGGTATGTCTTGACATTTAAGAGTTTGTTTTTTTAGCCTTAAATTTCATAAAAGGGAATATCTATTTAACTGTCTCTCATATATATATAGTGTAGTACACAAGTACTCTTTTCTACACTACCACGTGATAGAAAGTTCATGTGCAAACATTGTTCCCATCCGCGAAAATTTATTTGCACTTTTATACACAATGGTTTCCTGCATTTTGTAATGCAAAATATTCATTTTCATCCTGTCTTATGCAAGATTATTTATTTTCAGCTCTTACCAGGCCAGGATATTCATTTGCGAACCCCCCCCAGAAAATCAAATGATTATTACCTCAAACATTTTATCATAGTTCTCTATCATATCCTTGACTACTTCGATAACTTCTTTACTTTCTTCTAATCTTTCTACACTCTCTACATTAAACTCCTTTTCTGATCCCTTAGTTTTCCGCAGTATATTAGGACCGAACAGAGTGGCAAGATTGTGTGCATCCATCTTGTTTCCAGGAAGCTGTAAAATAAAATGAGAAAATTCAGATAGAATCATCGTTTTTTTGGCATAAATCTTCAACAAGTTTAATTTTGACAGTCGATTTCAGTCTTTTAAGTTAAATGGAAAATACCAAAACATCTGCTTTGAATAGAAGAAGACTAATGTGTTGAATGTTTGTTGTTGCTTAATGCCCAGTGGCAAATGTACATGCATATACAAGAGAACAAATTAACCATAAAGCCAATAGTCAGGTTCATCAAAGTGGTCGGGTCGATGTTGATGAAGGACGGGGAATTTAGACTTCCACTGGAAATGCTTGATAAGGGAAGACATTTTACCTTGCAACATATTACCTATACGAGTTATTCCAGCGAGCAGCTGGTATTCTCCTTACACAAGGACCCCATTTGGACGTGACGTGGTTACGTATTTATACATTCCGTATATATAGCCAAAACGGACGCCCTTGTCATAAACCGTAATTCAATTAGGAGACAGACACGACAAAAGCAATGTCAACAAGGACTTAAGACTTGCTTTGCAACAAGAGTGTACATTTGACTGTTGGTATTAGATATTTTTAGGTTATACCAAGATCTAATTGCCTGAATGAATTTATTGCCAATAGTCAATTCATTTTTGTTCCATGTCATCCATACGTCTTAATATCAAACTGTATAAATTTTGTATAATTTCCATTAAAAATTTGTGACATTTTAATAATACGTGCTTTATCAATGAATTGTGCAAAATGATTGTTTTACGTGAAAGGTAAGAAATATAGTTAATTTCAAGGATTAATACATGGTAATATATATACATCTAAATCCATTAACCTTTATTATTCATTTTATGATATTTGCACTTATAAAACATTTGAGCTTTCAAATCATATTTAATTTTTATAAAATTTACGACTCAAAAATGATGGATTGTGGAAAACACCTACTTATACAATAAAAAGGGACCTTGTTACTCTACTTATTATTAAGTATATAACGTATATAATTACAAATTAAGATTTTTCCCACATTAATTTTATTCATAAATCTACAATTATCACATTAACCAAGTAGTGAGGTATAGTTAAGTTTAGCTGAACAGCCACATAACTGTCACCTGTAATTTTTAAACGCTTTCTGTTTCATTAAAGCTATTTTATATATTTTTGCTATTATACGACAAGCTTTAAAAAGTAAACAAAACTATCCTTAAATTAAAATACATTATGATCTCAAAACCTTTAATTCCTACAATTTTAAATTTTATTTTGTTATTATTTTATTTAATATCAGTAATCTTCAAAATCACCCAAAATGATAGACATTTAAGTGTTTTAGATACAGTTTAAGATTTTTGTTAAATCATCATGATATCTAAATTCCACCCGTCAGCCAAAAACATAATATTGAATCATAATCCATGTTCTGATCCGTGCTAATAGTAACAGCATTTTGTATCAATCATTAAAACGTTTAACAAAAAATCCTAATGATTTGTCGATCATTACCATCTCTTTACACTGCTCTAGTGTTATTGACTGTAAAGGGCTTGAGGTGTAAATATGACATAAAAAGATTAAGTGATATCAAAATATGATTTATTTATGACCGTACGTGGACACTCATGGCACCTATCGTATCCTACATTAACTATCCATAGAGTTGGTCATTGGATTTCATGCTTCACCATTCACTAGAGAGAATGTTGTGGGCGCATTGTGTCCCAAATCAATATCCCGGGGCTAAAGTACACTGATATATCGTAAACTTCCTTAAATAATCCGAACAGATTTAATGGTGTAACAGTATGAAGCTGAAGCGTAAGATTTATGTCTGCTTAAGTTTACTACAATCATAAATCGACTTAAGCGCATGATTAATGGTCAAAAGTCTGAGGAGAATTATTATGACACGTTTCAGAGGAAGAGCAAGTACTTCTAAATACATTGATGTTGATCATGTCACAAATAAATTCATCATATAAAAATTGACAGAAAAAAGGAACAGCTTTACTGTAGTATTAAAGTGCAAAAATGTTAAATGGTGGTCGTTTTCCTAAACCATGCCGGGAAAAACCTACTAATTTTCTGAAAAAAGAGTCCTCCCGGTCTTTAGAATTATATGGTCAGTTGACCATATAAGTTATTGCAGTCAACTGATATATAATTCACTAACGTAATACGCGTATAACTTGGTATTCAATTCGAAAAGTAACCATTTTGGCTGTCTTTTCTCGGAATACATAATAAAGAACCAGTTTTGTTGTCTAGTACATATTTGTTGCTGTTTAGGATTTAGATCGAGAGAGCCTGTCAACGTAAATTTGTTCCGCCTAACAGAAGTTCCACTGGAAACTTTGTTATAAACAATGTCATTATATCTGTTCCTGTTGGAACAAATATTCTATAAAAAATTGAAAACAACACGTTTAATAATTTCATGCGTCCGAAGCGCTTTTCTGGATTAACCTTCATCAGGAACGCTCAATGCCAAACATTTGAAATCCGAGGGATGTATAAGTACCGAAACAGTTGAAGAGCTATATCTTTTATTCCGTTAGGAACATATACTGTGATATTTGTTCCAGTGGAAATAATACTCCAGAATATTTTTTCCATTTGGAACTAATATTATGAAGGAACTTCTATTTCGTGACAAGCCAACTGTTTATATGATGAATACATTGGGCCTCTTATCTATCATTACACAAAGGAAGACTAGGTTGGTTTTCTATAGTGATAACTTAAGGTCTTGGCTTAACTGTTAATATTACACGAGTATACCCATAAAGTTAAGCCAATATCAGAATAACCTAGATTTTACACCAAGGAAGTACAAATTGTTTTTTTTTATAACTTCCGTATGCAGAGCTGGACTATTAATAGTACACACAGGCATAGATATATGTGTGGTAGAACAAAAACATAGAACATCAAGAGGCCGTATGTAATTGTAAATATAAACTTTAAAAAAAAACATAATCATAGAATTGAGAATGGAAACGGTGAATGTGTCAAAGAAACAATAACCCGATCAAAGAGCAGAAAACAGCCGAAGGCCACCAATGGGTCTTCAACGCAGCGAGAAAATCCCGCACTCTGAGTCGGACTTCAGCTGGCCCCTCAACAATAATGTATACTGTTTCAGCGAAATGGACGACACACTGAACTCAGAAACATTGGTTGTACAAGGACATGGCCTTGATGTATTCTTATTCAATTAGAAAAATACTAACCGTTTCTCCATCTGCGTCGAGAGTGTCTGTGGAATGTTGAACAACTTTGGCTAGAAAATTCAGCAATGACTGTAGAGTATCTCTACTCGATGTTGGAAGTAAAGCGACTAGATATTGCATTGCAGCCGACTGATTTTCTCGTGAAGAAAGTTCTGTAATAAAAAAAAAGAAACGTTGGACATTTTATTTGTTTGTCTTCTTTGTTTATGCAACAAACGACATTTTATTATTGTACAAATTGTCTAAATCCGTAACGAAAAATTAATTAATCCGTTTACTGTCTATTTCAGTAAATACATAACAGTTAGTTGTTTATTTGTGTTCATTTGACTCTTTGATATCTTGATATCAGACTGAAAAGGTATAGTATACTTCATACTCACTTCTCGTTGCAACAAATGGGGTATATAAATCTCTCGTGAGTAATGGGTCTGGTAAATCACGGAAATACACTTTGAGTAAAGCCCCAACATCATGTGGACTGTGAGATTCGTCCAAATGTACGTCCTTTCCACTGTCAAATTCATCTCGAATCTGAATAAATATTAATAAATAGATTAAATCAGTGCATGAAACTAAAACTGCATAAATTTCGTGCGTCCGAATCTTAATGCAGCTTTACATTGTTTTCCAGTGTTCAATATCATCGAGCTTTGAAATAATTTAATTCATTCAAATAATTACTAAATGTGTGCGTTCTATTACGGAGGAACGTTTTTCTAAATTGTGTGATATGTACAAAATAATTCTTCTTTAACAACCCTTGACAAAGATCATTTGGGTCGAAACATAAACTCGACATTTTCTGTCCTTTAGCTTTTGTTGTGTATTGGTGTTATAACCTTTTATATCTTTTCGCAATACCTTTGACCTGTTCATTGCTTCTGATTAGAAAAACTCATTTTAATAAAATATATGTCGGTTATCACTTTCTAATTTTACAGAATGACTTAATTAATACAATCTACAACATACTGCATATATACACATAACACTCCTATAGAGCTGTGATGCAATTGTGATGTAATAACCTCACGTTTTCTTTGATAACATGTTATATTCGAACATTAAAAAAATCTTAAGACATAGGTTTCTTCAATTTACCTGTTTCACACGTTTTTTAGAAGCACCAACTCTAAAAATTCCCAATACCCGTAATCCTGAAAAAATAAACATGGTCATTATTTACGAAGATAGTAAATCATCAATAACTGAAGGTATTTCACAAGAATAAAACTGCGTTTTAGGCGTTTGTGGTTCATTTGTGAAAATTATCCCTGAACCACATGTCTATAAGAGTATGTTTATTTCGAGTAGTTTTATTTATATCGTGCTTGAAAGTGAAACTGATCTGGTCACCTATACAGATTTCCTTTCAAAAAAGCTTTCTTTAAGCATTGCAAATTAAATACCTTTTGTTGTACATGCTTATAAATTAGGATATTAGTGTAGGGATAGTTTTTCAAAAAGATTAGTTAGTAGCTTCTTAGTCTAAAAAATAACGATAAAAGTTCTGCAAAAATATTCATATTTGCATACTTTTTATTTCTTTTTCAACTTTAAAAAGTTCCTGAGAGTACCATCCAAATCATCAATCGGATGTCAATATTTTTTGATAAGTTAAAATAACAATAAAAAAAATCCTCTTCAAGTATAGATGGAAAACCTACGATTCAAAAATTCAATATATTGTATTTAAAGATGGCGCAAATATTTTCAGTCAATAAAACTTTGAATAAAAAGTAATGTTGTCTTGCACACAAAAGAATCCATAAACACTCCAAGAGTTTCGGGACTCAGTAAAACACAACAGCCTTCATAGTTCACCTGAAAGGTCACAGGGTCGGTACCCACCAAAAATATCGGTCATCAATATTTACACATTTATTATCAAACAAAATGTAAAATAAATTTATGTAATTCAAAAGTCATTGAGATTCTTTTGCCTTTTACTTTCTGTATTTATCTTGTGCCATAAGGGCCATAAAAATAACTCATTCATAAAATTGGTCATTTATATGTCATGATCTGAAAGCTGTTGAACATTATATATCTCTAATCTGTTGAAGTATGAATCAAACATAAAAGAGTGGAATTTATTGATCCGTAAGCCATGTCATAAGACAATATTTCGTAAGTACCTATGGACGTTTGTGATGTTGGAACCTCAAAGGTCCAAGCAGTACACTTAAGTTAGCATAAATATTATGTAGATCAATCTACACTAAAAGTAATTAGACAATCTTCAACTGAAATGCTTTTCAAAGAGAGGTGAAAGATACCAAAAAGACATTCAAACTCATAAGTCGAAAAAGAACTGACAATGCCATGGCAAAAAACGGAAAAGGACAAAAAAAAAAGACAAACAACAGTATACAAAACACAACATAGAAAACTAAAGACTAAGTAACACGAATCCCACCAAACACCGGGGTGATCTCAGGTGCTCCGGAAGGGTACTTTGAAAATACAGTATATAGCAATATCAAATGTCAAGACATGTGTTTTGATCACACCATCTGGTTAGTCCGATATTACTTTGCCTTCTGATGGTCGATATGCTCGAGACAAAACATTGTTGAGCATCAAAACTAAGTAAAGGGCATAAACAGAATAGCTAAATTCGCAAGAAACAGTTTTGCAAATGCTTTATCCATGTAAAAATAGGCAAGAAGATACCGAGGGTGCAATATCATACCGGTAGGTAACATGGTTTGTAACGATCTTCTAAAACCTGTATTTCACAACAGATTTAAATATTGACGTTATTGTTTTTATTTTGTTATCAGTTTACATGGAATCAATGATTGGGAAATGGTGTTTTTTTTTCAATGTTATTTTTTGCAATATCATCGCTTCAGATAGATGTATAGACTACCATGTGTACGCATTTATTTATATTTTTATTTCGTTATCAGTTTACGTGGAATCAATGTTTGGGAAATTGGTGTTTAATTCAGTCAATGTTTTGAATTTTTTTGCAATGTCTTCACCAGATATATAATGAGATGTATTGACTTCCATGTGAGCATTTATTTCTTTAAAACTTACCATAAGTTTCTATATGTTTAAAACAAACATTGACTATATGTGGCACTTGTGGACTATCTGAAGACACATTTGGCAAGGTATCTGTGAGTAAACTCCCCTGTCGTGATGACGTAGACAATGACAGAGCATCTACCAGACTTGAATTAGTTGTATGTCGGCTGCAATCCGATTCTGATAGCGAATCTGAACTTGCAGCACACTGTGAACATTAAAAATATATATAAAGAATTTATCACTACTAGTAAATGAACTATAGTCTGAAACAGTCATTTTGATCTTAACGTGATCTGAAAAGTCTGAATAATACTATATAAGTCATGTTTAGTCTTGCAGTCAATTTTCAGACTTATCCACTGGGGTAATTATTATTTACTGGCAAAACGATTCGCTTGATGTAAATTCAGTACTGTTCAGTGGTAGCTTTTCGGACAATTCAGTATGATGTAGATGTGTACAGGTAAATAGCATCTACCGAAGAGTCTGAACATAGACTGACCAGATCTTAATAGACTCCAAGCCAATTGTCGGAACAGTACTGACTTGTGGATTAGTTTGCAAATTGCATGAAAGACTGATAATGACTTTATAAAATATTGCTCAGTCTTTTTTAGAGCTGTTCAGATCAAAAGGAATATTTCAGATCAAAAAAGTTTTATTAGTGTTTAAGATAAACTTGTCAAAGTATTTCATTGTGTACAAATTACACCAATATTATCACAAAGCATGTGTTCAAGAATGTTTTTAAAAAACCTATAAACAGCAGTTCGAATTGCCTCTCCAGAATATGCTTTAATTCAATTATGTCAATCTGGTATACAACTAACATATATATTATGACATAGCTATGCAACAGGATAATCTGGATTTATTAAACTAAGTTATCCACAATAATGTAATTATTTTTACATCGATTTGTTTACAGAATGGGTCTGGTTTCTGATGACTCGGTAAAATTATCAGAGATTTAATGCTTTCGAGAAATTAAAAAAAGACTAGTGATTTCTATATAGAACTCAGTATTGGGATTAAAATAGAAGCTGAATCATCTTCTACATTGATCAGCTTCAGACAGATATACAGATGATAATGCACTTAGTGTATGCCAAAATACACATCTTCTCCCATGCTGGAAGAGCTAATAACAACTAATGATATATTTCGTGTATTCTGTTCATATTTCTTATATTTTCTCAAAAGCTTTCTGACTTCATTTACACGTTTATCAGACATGTAAGTTTCTTATTTGTCACTGAGAACTCTAAAAAACAAACATGCATTTTAATTAAACTCCTAATCCTACTTACCCGGGTGAGTTTATCTGGTGACAATGTTGAACCACCATTTTGCGTGTAGTTGTCAAGTGAACCATGAGATGAACTACTGGATTTCCTGTAAAAAGGTAACAATAAAAAAATCTTTAGTATGTACATTAATCAACATTTCAACTGGTAAATGATTACTGGTTATATATGTAAATACTAAATGTTGATATCTGATTCAGGTTACAGATCATCTATACAATTATTTTTCTACATGGATGTAACCAGTCTTGGTTTTTAAAGTAAAAATTGGTCAAAATGTTTTAATGTGTAAGGATGTAGCATTATGACTATCTTCAAAAGGTAAAGCATCAATAAAATGCTTATATTTTACACTTCAAAATCTTCAATCGTATTTTTACATAAAAACATATCATTATACTGTATTATACCTTTGATCTCTTCTAGTTATCACAATGTCCCCATCATTTGCTTTTTCTTTCGTTGCCGCTCGTCTTTTTCGAAGTTCATTGTCATTAGCGATGCACTTTGCAAGAGGTATTCCGAACACAAGCCCAACTGGCTGGGAATCTGTAACACAACATTTTCTATAAACTTTGTTTAAAAATCAGTCATTGTTGACAAATGATAAAGCATTATTAAAATCAACACATTGTATGTTGCATAAAAAAGGAGATGTGGTATAATTGTCAAAGAGACATCAAAGGACAAATATGTGACCAATTACAATTCAACTTGTGGCCTTCAACAGTGAGAAATGCCCATAACGCATTGTATCCTATAAAAGGTTACTATTCGACAAAATGGACAATTCAAAAGAGAAAACCAATGAACAACTAAACATATCTTAAGGTCTGACAATTCCGTCATGTTCTTTTTTTTTCTATTTTAGACGTCTGTTGTATTTAATTTCCCATTTATTACCTTTATTTTCCTTGTCTTTAGTATCATGGATTTTATCTATTAAGGCACCAAGGTTTGCTGAATGGGATTTCTTAAACGCTAGAACTTTTCGTTTTCGCTTAGTATCAGGTGACTCTGAAAAAAAGAAAAATATTCATTTAAAATTAAATCTCACGCATATTAAAAGCAGATTTCATATGTTAACATTATAATGTGTGCATGTGTACTCATTGCAGAAGCATATAATTCAATTTAAAGTCAAAGTAATGAATGCATTTGTCATGCATGTTGGTGCTATTTAAATCTTAACAAAATATTGTGTTCAAACGACTGACTTAAATGATTTTATTCTGAACAGATTATATATTCTTTGTAACTTTAGCATTCACTTTACGAGATAAACATAAAACTGGGAGGGTTGAGCACTAACATACAACTTTAACTCCTCAACATATTTGACTATCATGCAAAATCAAGAACCTCGTCAACAGTTGTCCTATATGTTATATTTTTTTTTATGTTTGTTAAATTTATTTACAATGTATCTATTAATAGCTAGATTCCGGCGAATTAACAAAATTAGAGCCATGTTTGACACTAGAGCATAAATTCTTATAGAGCGGGAAAAGATACCAAGGGCAAAACAGGTGTAATTCAGCTTTTGGGTGTTTTCTCGAATCTATAATTGCTATTATTAGAAATATGAATGCATGTATTGATTAAGCTGTCAAACGATGCAAATGTTACGCTGGCTTTTAGGCACGTTTTTTAAAACAATGACATTTAGTATGCGTTCCGTCATATTCAAAAACATCCCGATGAAAATGCGAAATAGCACCTAAGATAACCCATCACCCCATAAAAACAAAGTTTGCTAACAGACAATCTTTGTTGTTCCTGATTACTAATGAATTTTTTTCTCGTTTAATTAATTAGTCATTACTTTAATTAGCAACAGGAGGATCATAAATTTCATATTAAATAAGAAACAAGTTTATTCTATTTTTATGACGTAACAAGATGACAAGTGTATATAATTATGACAACTTGTTTCCGTATAGGTAAGATTTATTTACCTATAACTGTTCATTCAACTTGAGTGTGTGTGTGTGTGTGTTATTTGTTCTTGTTGTAGATTTCTGACTTGTCAATCAATTTTTTTTTCAGAAGTCAATACAGATGTCTTTAAGCTAGAGCACATATGCAGTGATGACACCTCTGATCTACCGATATATTTTTTTCTTTATCATGCCTTGTTATTTATTAGGGATTGTGGTTTGTTTGATGAATCTGTTAACCAGGGTTAATGACTCCTTCATCAGGTTCATACATTATTAAAGTAAAACTTTCAATAAGATTGAACTTTTTCAGCGCAAGAAAATAGTGTTTTATTTTACAGCTATCAAATATGCCTCTGGACGTTGTACATGTTTTAATATTTATGTGTCTATAATTACACTCTTCAAAATTCATTTATTTACCTACCGCGTGATAAAAAAAATCGCATGCTTACAAGTAAATATGTCAGTCAATTATGATCGATAATTCCAATTGTAAAACCGTTTCTTTTTAACCCTATCAATAAACCTACAAATATTCATGTATCTTCAATTTATAAATGTGTGATGCCCATTTCAGATAGCACGATGATTGTATCCCAAATTACCTCAGTCATGAGACCATGGAAGTATTATCTATATTACTTCCATGATGAGACCAGATAGTTTAGAAAACTCAAAACAAAAACGCATGTAAAATAGATCATTGGGGTCTAAATAAAACAAAAATAAAAATGTTCTAGGGTCAACTTTGGTTGCAACCATACATAAACTTATCGAATTTTCAAAAGAGTGACAATTAGTTCCACCAAATAGTCACCGTTTCAATACAAACGTTGAAGAGTTTATCAAACCAATTGGACCTACAGTGTAGCCAATACTGGATAAGGAATCATGCAGAGCTTTGCATGAGGGCGATATAGTCCTTAATTTAAATGATTTTCTTAAATGTAACAACAGCAAATCTTAAGAATTCACTGATAAAGTTGATTGGTTGTAAGTATGGCCACAGATGGTATGACAAGGACCAATATGAATCATCGTGAGTCAATAGCCATCACAAATTACAAATTTGAATAATACGGTCATATAGGAGACAACGTACTAGAACCAACGTCAGGCGACCTTTACTTTTTGTTGTGTAATATATGTAACTTGTGGATAGTATCGACATTTATTTAGTTCTAAACAAAAAAAAAATGGCAAACAAAGTCAGACTTCTCAGACCAATAAATATATACACGAACAAGGAAACTGGACTTCGATGCTGGAATCAACGTCAGACGACTATTACGTTTTTTTGTATAATATATGTAACTGGACATTTATTTAATTTTAAATACCAAAACGAATAGAAAATAAACTTCTAAGACCAATAAATATAAACATGAACCAGGAAACTGGGAACTGGACGTCGATGCTCATAAAACGCCAGTCATTCAAAAATACCTTTTCACAGACATAAGTGTTACCACAAATATCTAAAATATCTGGTACATGTATGCCCGATTTGATCGATGTGGGTCACGGCTCATTGGTAAATTACTAATATACAATAAAAATTGATTGCTTTTCAAAGACCTTGAGGTCTATTATTTTTACACATTTTATCCCACGTAATTATACCATCAGATATATGTTTTTTGGATAGGTGACAAAATAAAACAGAAGGATTGTTCGTACAAGACAAAAACAACTGAAAAACAACTAACGTGTTAATATTTCCTAAAAACAAGTTATTGATTTTATTCATAAGAACATATTTGTGGTCTTGTGAAGGTCAATAAATAATATAAACAATAATCAACTATCAATGAAAGTTTCACCTTACAGCATTTTAAGTACGTAGTGGTCAATTGTGACTATCGGTCTTAATCCGACTTCTTACTAGGATAATTGACATTCTTGACATTGTGTGGCCCACAATTGGCATACCAAGAAAGCATGTTGGAGTATACTTTAATCTTTAAAACAAAAGATCGATATTCAAACTTTTAACTGATACAGATACAAGTTTGCAGTTGTAAATGACAGATTGATTGTTGGTAACTTCACGTCCAGTTGCAAAATAAAAGTTTGTTGACAAGTTGAAAAATATCGGTATCCAAACAACATGTTTCATTGAATCAGATAGTTGCAGATATAAGTAGCATTGCTAAATTATGAATACTATAAAATATTTATTGGATTTGGAATAAAATATCAAAGAATGTAGGAATAGTTATGGAAACTTAGAATACCAGATCTATGTTTTGGATAAATCAGATACTTGCAGATTTAAGATATAACATTCCAGACTTTAAATACTATAAATATTGAATCTGGAAATAAGAGTTAGCTTTTTATCATAATAACAACCTTTTGTTTATGAACTCCATATACGATGACAAAAAACATTTTATTGGTTAAATTTTCAAAAACAGTTGATATATCCAATGAAATAATTTCTTTAGAGACCCAAAATAGGACAAATTGTATCCCAGATGAATTTCGTATCCACATACTTTTCAGTACCCTCTTAATGCGAAATTTGATCAAGCCAATAAGTGTCTAAAATATAAATTACAAAGATGCCATGGAAAAAAAATTGCTCAAAGCGTGTTATTTATTCCTTTTATTTACTTTAATTATAAGTTCTAAAGTTTCAAATCGACAAAGTTTTTCCTACTAATTTCCAAATAAATGATTTAAGATAAACTTTAAACTTTATAATTGTTTTTCATTTTCCCTATAACTTTCAAGCTGTATACGATTTAACAATAGGTGTTTCTGACATTTAAAATTGGCGTGACATTTTTTGTTATTCGTTTTTTCTATCGATCCGTAAGGTGTCAGGTGGGGTGTAAACCCAAACTTTCAAAGCAGTTTTTTTTTTCACAATGTTTGTTTTGTATAACACCGAAAACATATATTTCAAGTTTATATAACCTACTGCTTGTTACTGGTTCCCCCCTGTGTGTTAACAATACCGAGACGACTAAACAGGTAACACAAACACCCAATAATCCAGATCAACAAGGTTTAATGTCCGATTTATGTAACCATTTGAATGGAATACAAACAGGTCGATTTGTAAAGGAATGCGTAACATCCTCTTCCTATTTTTTAAATACTTTAATAACTAGAATTGACACGAAAACATCTATATACATCTATAGTTGAAAACACCTATACATCTGTTTAAACAATATCCATCACGTTTGATTTGGTACATGTTTTAAAGAACGCAAAGTGTCTTTTTTTATGCTATCGACGTTTTGTCATTAAACGAAACTGTTTTTTTTTTTTATCTTTTTTCCAAAATCAAACTTTTTCTTTGTACATTACTGCGATAACCTCTTATATTTATGGATACGAGTTTTTCATGACCGAGAGCTATTGTTTTTCAAAAGATTGAGCTTCTGTTTGCACTAAATTACCACAAGCACTCAATTACCACAAGTGGTCTCCGTGCAGACGCTGCTTAAATGATAGGTATGCTTATCCTGGTGTTTGTTTAGCTTAAAGTATGCAAACATTGAACAACATCAGTCATCAGCTTATGAATTAATAGATACTGACACATTTAGTGTTTGTAGACATATGTTTGTTGGTTCAAGTATTCGGCAAAAACATTTCTCAAAAGTTCGTTTAGGATTAAAGAGGAGAGGCCAATACTCCCTGAATTTTTTTCACACAATGTTCTTCCATCTTTACTAAGATTTACAGTTTATCACCGCTACATGTGTACTCTTTTGGGTTGAACTTAAAGAACAATTTTAAAGGCCTATAAATGCCTCAAAACTGCAATTCTGAAAGAGTTTTGCAAATTTCGAGTATTAATCCTTGGGACATTCTAAAACAAAATGACAATTCAAACGGAGGTAATGCTTTGTATTGTTTACAATTTACACAATGATTTGCTTCGGTTAATGATGTCCTCCGAAGATAAAATTTACTAAAACATGTTAAAGTTGTCATATTTCACCAGAATGGACGTATAAAGCTACTGTATGCATAGCACTGGAAATCATTTTGAATTTTATGTATGTATGGGAAATTGTAGCAAAATCCTTAAAGTAAATTATTCAGACTCTTTACTTTTCCAAACTTCACTTGGTTTTAATAACTATCGGATATTGACCACATGAAAGACATAACTTCAGTGGAAATTGACCTTAATCCTTTCTAGATTATTGATATTCATTTGTACATTAGTATGCTTCACTAATATATATAGACTGCAAATCACCAGTACGCAGAAAATAAGGTTTTTGAGAATATGTTAGGAACACACTTTTGATATATAAATATGCAATATAAAATGTAGGCTTTTTCAAACATATGTCACTATTATATCTGCATATATGTCTTTTCATTCATGTTTAAAGTGTCCATGGTCATGAAACAAGGTTAGCTTGTCTAGTAATTGGCGCTAACGAAACATAAATACTACATGCAGTATCGTTCTTGTTTTACGTTTCAACAACAGATTTGGTTTTGTTTATACGAAGTAATTATCAAACTAAGACACATTTTCGCGAAAACCTGTGGTTAAGATAGTCTAAAAATATGATAGCATGTTAAGTTAAGTCTATTAATATTTTAATTAATGAGGCAAGTATAATGGTCTACGACAATATGACTCATATTCGTAAAAATAGTCTCGAAGTCTGACAAAAAAAACAATGTCTAGTCAAGTTTTAAAGTTCAAGAAATTAATTAACGCACGTTTGTCTTTTAATTTTTTTTTCTTCTTTTTCTTGAAAAAGAAACATATGGTTTTTATTTTACAAATTATTAAAATAATGGGGCCCTTTCTGGGCCTCTCCTTGGTACATTTTATATATTTTCAATTTTTTTATGATGATGATAACATTTATTTGAAGTGTCATAAATGCTTCGAGTATACACCAAAAAGGTTTATCGTGATCAAACTTTTATGTCCCTATCTTGTTCAATTTATTCTCCCCTTCTGGATACACATAAAAATAAAAATTAAGTCCAGCTGGAAATTTCGCATATTTGTTTTCTCAGAAGTGAAATTATTAATACCGAGGTCGTAGATCAATTCGATCAGATACTAAAGAGAATAAATTTGTAATTACAAAAGAGAATACATTTGTAAGTTTTATATTTCCTGGTATTTGTGGTTTAAGATTATTTATTATTGTGGTGGAATTAATTTGAATATTAAACATGTAATAATCAAATTCATGGTGTACCCATCAAGGAAAATAATCCACATAAGTTTAATATAGTTTGTTTACCTTTTGGAATTGTGATCGAACAGCCAAGGTCCAACGCCTGAAGTTTTGATAGCACTATTTTCTGTAAGGCAAGTCTCTCGGCATTCGTTAACTGAAGTAAACTGGATGGTTTAAGAACTACTTTTCTTCCACTTACATTGCACCAACAGCAGTTACCCTGCAAACATATTGTATGAAAATAAATAACACAGTAAATCATGGTCAACTTTTTGTTTGTGTATAACGCTGCATTTGAACTCCCCCCCCCCCCCCCTTCTTCTTTTTTAACAACGTTTTTTTTAGTCTACCTCAAATATTTTCATTGTCGAGTTACAACTGTTGCTTTCTCTGAAAATACAAGTAAGTAACACAATACTAATTTTTTTATATATATATAGACAGGGACAGAACTGTCAACAAACTTGTTATTGATAACAAGTTCTATGTAAATCATTACATATTCTATAACCTATTTCGAAGAAATGACGATCTGTATGAAATAAAAAAAAAAGGTATATGATCGTAAACATGGCGGTAAAACCGTTGTTTACTATTGTATGTTTTTGCTTGAATTATCTTTGTTCCAAACTTGTTTATGTTTTTATAATTGCTTATTAACAGCTTGACAGAAAGGTTGTTGACAGTCGTGCGTCCAGTATACATGTAGCCCACAATAACCGCCCCCTCTGAGGAAAAGCATTTAAGGCATGGTTTATGGTCCACACTCGTTCTCATAATGAAATTCATATATAAAATTTGACCATGCGTATATTGTTTGAAGAAGTCGTTTCTATGTCTTTTATTAATATCAGATGGTCGTTCTGTTTAGCTTAAAACTTTGATATAGTTGTATTTGGCGTTATGAGGGATATGTTGTGTTGTTCTTTCATTATCATCGATTGTCTGGTACCAAAATAAACATAAACCGGAAGTAGGAATCACCAGAAAATATTGGCCAGTACAAACAGACCACACAAATTACTAACAACAAACATCTCCAAAAAATAGATGTCACAACATATACCCAGTATATCCGAAAGGTAATACATATGTCAATGGCCTGGTTTGTTTATTTTTGCCCACTAATGATAACTTAATAAATCGATACAATTATATCAGAGTATTTTCCGGGTAGTCTTCAAGTCCTCATACAACATTTTCTTTGACAAATTAGCATTGTTAAGCCGTTCCTCCTTTTCCAAATGGAGACCAGAATATCTAATTCAGTTGATATTAAACTATTTTTAGCTGTATGTTTCCATTTCAGTTCCAAAAGCGAAAAGATGCGAAAGAAATCATATCAATTTTAAAGTATATACATATATATCGTGGTATAATTAGGTACGTATAAATTTTTGAATTAATCGTAGTCGGGTGAAGACAAGGTGAATTGAGTTACAAGGATATAATATCTGTATTAAAATGTATCCCCAATGCCCTCGTCGTGAAGCTAACAATGGAATGTATGTGTTATAATTATATTTATCACATTGATCCTTCGTCAAATCACTTTAATATAAGATCATAAGATTATTTCTTCATTTTTCTCCAGAGGCGCTGTCAAAATGCATTTATCTCCATGATAAAACTCTCTTCCAAAGCATTTTTGTCAGACAAAAGCATTTGTGTTCAACTAGTATTATTTGGTTAAATGGTAAGGTTATAATGTGTCAGTAAAATTAAAAGAAGTGCAATGCAAAATGTCGTAAATGTTAAATTCTAGATGGTAGTTTTCTAAGGTTAAATCACTCCTAAAATGTCAAAGGATTTATCGTCTAAAATGTCTTGACACTACTTTAGTGCGTGGGATCCTTCTGTTATTTTTAGAGTGCCTCCAAGTAGCGACTTGAACAACGAAATCATTCTAAAGCCATTATAAAAATCTCTGATTTTACATAACAATATAATTTAAAGATAGGAAAACGAAAAGACCCCCTACCACCAACCATTTATGTATGTATCTCATCATAAGAGATAGTTTAGATAAGTCGTATTAATATTTAGGGATTTGAAAGCCAATCCAATAGTAATGCAATGAGATTTAATTGAGCATACCGCCATGGCGTCAGAATGTCAATATTGAAAATAGGCTAAGGATAAAATTTATTTTTCATATTTGTAAAATTTTGCTGTCTTTTTATATTTTTAGCGTTGTTGTTAGAAGGTTTGAAAGGAATACAATACGTAAGATATACAGTGTAATGCATACTTAAAATAATACGAGCTGGTCATAAATCGGACTGATAACCTTAAAACAGAAGCAATAAGACAAAGACAATATTTATTAGCACTCACACAATTGCATGTATTATAATGAAAAGGCAACAAGTTAACTACAGAATCAGAAACTTAAACTAAGCACAACAACTAACTGAACATTAAATATCATTTGGGAGATACAAAGCAATTTGAAAAGAATTTCCCTAAAAAAGAGACTTATCAAATCTAATGATGTTACAATAAAAAAAAATATTTCAATACGATGGAATTTCCCTGATAGAACCTTCGTCCTGATACCTGAACAGGAATGAAGTATTAGCCACTGGTCGATAAACAACCAACAATCAATCCTAAAATATGGAAAAAATAGCCAATGCATGGAAAGAGAATTTCAACAAGTGATTTTTCAATTCTTACATTCTTACTACCAAAAACAATGCAATATGAATGACACTTGTAGTTTTAATCATTTCATTTTCCTGGTAATGTACTTTTGGTATTTAACATATTTTCTTCCAGTATCCGTATTTTCAATCATAATTAGAGTCAATAATACGGTGAAATTAGAAATTATACGCAAAATATATATAACGCCCCGGATTTAGGATTCTAAATTGACTTTGCCGATCAAAAGAATATGTATTGCATTATCTGGTCGTGTGTGTAACATGCACCTCTTACATGTTCAGTACAGATGATAAATGGTCAAGCAGTGAACATTGTCACAAATTCTGACAAGTTTTGTTGTATTTATAGGATAAAACATACCGGCATGTTGCCGTTAGATGATTAATTGTGCCGCAGTGTAATTGTGTTATAACTGCTAATTATTTAGAATATATGGGGTAAAATTACGGTCAAACCCTCCCATTTAACTAGCGAATATAGATCAAAACAAACATATATTGGAAGATATAATTTATGTGAAGAGCTAAAACACTATACACGTGCCAGGGAAAATGTTATTATTTAATTACGAAATCTCCTATTTTCTAAAGTCCAAGAGTCAATTTAGGCCCAGTTATAATGTTATTTCACCTGACCTTGAAAAAACAACAATCGTAATAACTCAAATATTTGCCATTTTAAAATTTTTTAAATATCACAGTTGAAAAATCTAACAATGAGTAATTATCTCATAAGAATGCCAAAATTACATACTTTTATACATGTTATATCCAATTTAACATTTAGTCTTTAAAATTAAGTTTATTGGTAAATTGGGGCTGAAATGTATTCGTTTTACAGTAACGTTAAAAAGTTGGTTTTCTTTTATTTTTTGCTTTCCCAGGAACTTTCTATATCAAATAACATGGCTTACTACTCCTGTGCACAGTTCATGATTGATAACAGCCATTTCTTTATTTTTTTAGAATTTGAATCATATTTCTGTCTCCCTAGTACCGAGTTATTGTTCTTACTTTGGCTTGGATTCTTTAGCTAGATTTTGGCTCTGATTCTTTAGCCGGCTTTGGATCGGTTATTTAGCTAGATTTTAGCCTAAATTCATTAGCCGGCTTTGGTTTTGATTCTTTCACTTCAGCTATTGAATTAGGCTTTGGATTCTTAGACATACATATTTTTTTGAAAACGCTAAAAGAGGCACCATTTAAGGAAATGCGCGTTTGGTGCATCATATAGTGGTATATCGCTTTTTTTTCAACAGCCGTAGCTAAATGATGTTTACAAGCACGTATAATCCCGCCAAAAATATCAGAATTATTTTGTAAATGACACTACTTAGTACCGCGGTAACATTTGAGAACAACAGCCGTAGGTCAGTTGACCGAGTTATCAAACGAAGAGTGTCCAATCGTTTCTGATAGAACTGACACATGACCTAACTGTATGATGTATTGCACTATACTGTTTACCTAGAGTAGAAATGTCTGTCAAAAACATTTTCCCTGTTAAATACGGCCTCAAACCATTATGACGACATGATTCTATTTAGTGTATTCGTGTGGATAATTTCATATTTTTAACTTAGAAATTTATATATATGTTATTTTCTAGGAAATGTATACGTTGCGACCTTATCTCTTTGAAATTTATATGAAATTTCATTATTTGTCTACTGCAGGTTAAAAGATTTTTTTTATTATCAAAATCAGTTTATAGCAAATCAATCACTCATTTTCTAATGCCTCATTTTCTCTTTTATAGCAAATCACTTTTTTTCTTTGATAATATTAAAAAAAATGTAATGATAATATGGCATCTAAAAGCGGATAAAGAGGGCGTCGTCAACCCATCCTTTTCTCCGTTTTTATAATTCAAAAATGGCGGAAATAAGGCCTGAAGCCCTCCTTTTTTCCAGGAAATTAACATCGGAGTTATGTTGTATTATTTATTATATATTACCAAGGTGAATGTGTGTAACGCATAGGTTTGCAACAATCGATTCGATCAGATGCAAGAGCTGACAGTTTGCAATAACTAAACTGTTTGAATAATCTCGAATTCTCTGACTGCATCTTTGTTTCTAGGCAAACAGAATGAATAAAGAAGAAGAAATATATATTAGTTTGTTACTTGACAAAAATGAAAACACTTTTTAACTCTATAACTTATCAAGAACGTCTTTAACCAGATCGTTTTGCTAATGAAGCATGGAATATGATCATAAGATAGATGTACTTTTATCAAATATATCTTTCATCACTGCTTGTGAACCATCATTTTATGTAAGTGCTCGAACGGCCTATAGACATACTTTACACGTCTCAGGTATCGTTAAAACATTTTTTCTCACGATGTATAATGGTTTTATTAATTTATTAAATATCCTTAATATACCGAAGTAACATCCATACAGATAAAATAAACAATACAAGTTATATGAAGTTATTCCTCAAATCAGGTTTTTGATTCGTATTGTTCAAAGTTCTGATGTCTTGTCTTTTGTTTTCGACTAATTCGTCAGAATCGTCAAGAGGAATTCGAGTAATTCGTCAG